GAAAATAATAACAGAAGAGAGATTTTTCACAGCTTCAAGACAACAACAAACCCAACATAAAGAACAACAATTTGACAAAAGAATACGTAAGTCCTGTTAGTGTCTAATAGGCGCTTGGCAATTAATTTCGTTTACCCCAGACAAAATTACTTGGTTTCCACCGAATCAAATGAACATCTGTACAGCATCCATCCCGTCCGTCCCGTACAATCAAGTTGTTAATTACATATTATCGTAATCGGAAATATCGATTTTTGAAAATATCGTTACCGTTATCGGCGTTTTCTCGTTGGGATCAGTATCAGCGAAAAAATGATGTTAGTACATCACTAATTTGAATGACCCACTCCTTGGTCGTGTAGGTCGGGCTGCGTGGCAGGAAATCACGTGATCAATACATTCTATTGCTGTTCTCGCCCGGGAACGTGTTTTCATACGAGGAAATAGATTGTGAATAAACTACTTTCTTTGGGATTTTAGATCATTTAATGTTAGTTTTCACTCAGTGCTTCAATGGTATTGAATTCCCCTTTACTGATCCATTTTCAGTACATATTTGCTACAACTTTTCGTATTTTCTACAGTATAAACACTTCTGAAAATCGCTCAGAAGATTTTCTTAAATGCAGCATTCACTAATTTTTTTATTTGATTTTAACAAATTTCAAGAACAAGAAATAAGAATAAGAACAAGAATAAGAACAAACAAGATTAAGAATTCTGTTCTATTTACATTTTAATAATCTATTTGTTACTTTACAGAAGCTTATTTCAGGTATAAAAAGTGTGTTACTTTTTGGCTTATGTTCCTCAGAAGTCTTTATTTTTATTAGAAAAGTCGCAGCATAAATTATATCTTAAGTTCATGACGAAAAAAACATGTACATGATAAATTAGTATTTACATCAATATAAACAGAACACACAATACGGAAAAAACGTACAGTGAATCACAGGTGTAAAAAAATATTAAAAGTTTCTCATTCAAAAATATGATTACTACATCTAAACATTTTCAATGCACGCAATCATATAGGTTCTGAAGTGGTATTACTTTGTTCCATAGAAGATGAATATTTATCGCTATAGTTTATTTCATTTTTCAACATTTGCATTTTTTCCAAAACGGTGCGATTCTCTTTTTACAGTTATTAAAACAAATGATAAGACAGAATAAATCAAGGGCCATGTTCCAAACATACAAAACCCCGAATCCAGTCTTGTATAATACAACCAATGCTATTATATTGTTCGCAACTGAGATAGAGGCCACAATCGAAGTTCGTATTAGCGTTTTCTGTATAACTGGCATAAGTTCCCCATTATCACCGTTTTTCTTCGTACATTTAAATCTGAGAACGGGAATCGCAAACAAAATCAGTTCAACGATACGGGATTCACCTACATATATAGCTAATACTACTAAAATCCAAAAAGGGATACATTCTGACGTTGTGATGCCTTTGCTCATTGCTTCATATCCAGCAACTATTCCTAACACCAGACCCCCAACTATGATAATAACAATTTGAAAATAACACATATAGTATAACCCGACAGATGAAAGTTGCTTCAAACTGGGATCAGTATGTAATGAGACTTGACGCAACCATAGTATGATATCGACCACAACAAAAGAAAGTCCAATAAAAAATCCATTAGTGGCATAAATTAAGGGGTTTATTGTATAATATGACACAAATGTAACTAGCATTTTGATGACACCAATACATCCTAGTATAACAATAAAGTAGCTCATTATAGTATGCAGATTCTCCGGCATAAAATAGTCCATTTTTTCCCGTATAGGATGTACAAATTTGTACAACTTTTCAGATATAAGAACATAAATTTGACACGCAGTCATATACGTCAGAGCAATCGCTGCAACGATATCTGAGCATAATACATCGTTTCCGTATTCTGTGTGATTGCCCGTGAATGATGTATCAAAGGAGCAGCTGACATTGTTGAATTTAAGTTGTAGTTGCTGAGTGGCGCTTCCTTCCTCCATTGCGTTGCTTTTGGAAATATATCACGGTCTACTGTTGGTGCATTATATAATATATATATATATATTTCAAAGGATCTATAGCTCATTGTGCGATGTCAGTTTTACTCTACGTAGTTTCAATACTGTTCTTTTGGATGTATTAGAGGAAGATCGGGCCCAAAAATTCCAACCCTGACCCAGACCCTTGGGTATTAAACCCGACCCGACCCGAGCCCGACTAATTAACTGGATTTGCAGGCCCCAGCTCGAAGCAAACCCGAAATTTTATATTTTGTTTAGAAGTTCATTGAATTGTCATTGCAAGATTTTAGTACAGTATGTGTCGTGTTGATGAGGCAACTTCTGCTTTTTGCAGACCACGTGGTCTGTCTCTCGTGGCCAAAAATCGGCCGAAACGCCTCATTTAAAAAAAAAAGTCAGCGATAGAGAAAGCCGACCCGACACGAACGTAATGATTGACATTTCAGGCCCGACGCGGCCCGAATTTCTTGTCGGGTCGGGTTTGGGATCCAGATCTTAGCTCTAATTCGGAGTTTATTCGACTGACGCAATACCATCGATCTCTTTATACCTTATATTTTCATGGTGTTCCGTAATCATTTACCGGTTACAATTTCAAAAAAAAAAAAAAAAACTATCAATTAATTGTATGGTATTATGCAGTGTCATAGTTTTCTCAACTTTATGATAGGCGTTCTTAAAATTTCGAATTCAACCATTATTACTACTGGCAACTATTGTCAAAAATTGACTTCTACATCCGACTCCAGAGTATGTAATTGGCAATGTACTTTGGTATTAGCAAACCATATCCCAGCTCCCTTCCGTATAGAGTTCACAATTCCAACTTTGACCTGCAAAAGAGTTCGGAATCCATAATTTTACTGTATCGTAGAGTCAGAAAGGCATTTATGAAATCAACTCCAGAACATATTCCCTTGGCCCTGGTTCCCAACTGCGACTTTACAAAATGATCTCTTCAAGGAGTAAAAGCATTGGGAACTTTCGAACTTCACCAATCTGGGAGAAATCGCAAAAGAATCCTGATTTCTTTCATCAACCACATTCACTCAACTATGAAACATTGGGGTAAACGGAAAAGATAAGCCCTCCCAACATATGAAAAGTTTCGAAAGATTGTCAAGTTTGAATTAATTATATATACTATTTTGAACACAGTGTTTAAATACTCAGACCATACATTTGCAAGATCGAAGCCGACCAGACATGATTTAAAATATTTATGACATGTTTACCCTAAAGTTTCTCCGGGTATAGTACTTTTCAATAACAACGAAATTAAATCAAATTTGAAATATAAAATTGCATAGGAACTTTTGTTTCAAATAGAACGAATGCTACAGTGTGTTTCATTGTTACAAACCCATTAGATCGTCATTAGATTCTTTTTTGATTGTGCTCATTTTCAAATTCAGCTATTATTTGTTTGTTTTTCAGCTGGTATTTTCAGCTTTATCATATTAGAGCAATGAAAAAAGATTTCTGAAAGTTACTGTATGATCTATCGACTGATATTGATTCGATTCATCGAATATTGACCATTTGTGCAAAATTAGAATTTCAATGAAATTGACCAATTTTAATAACTTCGATATAAATGAGTCAATTCGATATTTCGAACATTACTCCGGGATCAATCATTATATATATTTGATTGTGAGAAAGCACAAAGAATGAGAAAACCGATAGCTTCATAGAACTTTGGTCTGTGACCGTTTCAGCTAGGTTTTTTCATCTGAAGTATCTATAGAATTGCTCGTATTTCCTGGTTTCTGAATGTAATATGTAGAATAGACTTATTTGTCTTAATACATACAGTTGAATGGCGTAATATTTCTCTCATATTTTCCATTTTCTTTTATATGACGGATTTGCTAACGTTTTAAATTCGTTATTGCCAACTGCACAAACATCCGTACATTTAAGTTTGGAATTATTCTTTTGTCCACTTTATTCCAGCTAAAACGTTACACTGATATTTCTATCGAATTTCTGACTTGCTTTTGAAAATGAAAGTTATTGAAATACCGAAGGATATTATATAAAATTGTTTCTATTAACATTGTGTTGGACCAGGAAATTTTTGTACTGAATTGTTGGTGTATCAGCAGAGTATCATATTATTCAACTTGTCCATATCACGTACGTGTCTTTATGGCACTTTGAATGCAAGCCCATTTCCTGTCTTTGAATTGTTTGAATATGACAGAGTATATTAAATTTGTGAGTAGGAACCCTGGTTTGTTGCAGTTTTATTTAAAAACAAAATCTACACACTGTCAAATCTGTTCACCAAACCTCTTGTGAATATAAGAAAGGTGACTGGGACAAGTTTACAAAACTTATTCGTGATACTTTATGCCACGAACTTGTATACTTTCGCTACTGTTTGAATTCTTCGCATCGGGAATTACAGATTGGTTTATCATCCATAGTCGGTATTATCAATTGAATCATACTATGCACCATCACGTTTGTCGGAATGTGCTGCGGCGTTAGCGGAACGAAATAGAACTTTCCGCTCGCTGCTTCCCGAAAATAAAAATTTAATTTTGAAGTCGACAAAAAGATTTGATAATGGCAAAAAGAGATATGCAAATTCGACAAAATCCCATTGCTGCTCTGAAATCCCCGAGATTTTTAAAAAAATCATCAATGTCTTAACAATGAAAATATGTCATGTCTCTTCTCCGTAATGGCTCCAAAATTATACACTCATCGCATTTGTTTGCCAAATTGTTTTTAAATGAGTGCGGTTTTGAAACGCACAGATAAAAATGTGAACGATGCTTCAACAACATCTGATAATATTTTTCCAGCAACTCCTTGGCTGCTTTCGGCCCAGGCAGTATACCCAGATAATATTTTTTTTAATTCTACGCGATGTTGTCAAAATTATTAATCGATGTCTGTCTGAATCCACTTTTTTTCACATTGCTTAGAATTAGCTACCATTGTTTCCACTCTTAAAAATAGCGGTGATCGATCGATCTTGGCAAAAATTGCCCTATTAGTCTCTTTACAACTATAAGCAAAGTATTTGACTCCTACGCGGAGAAATTGCATTTAATTATATTGTTATTATTATATTCCGGCCATAATTTGTATTATTTTGCATTGTTGAATTCTTTCCTAACAATAAATTGGATGCTTAGAAAATATGCAGACGCAAACACTTCAATAATTCTATTGCGTAGTCAATTTCTTCAACGCTATGCGATCAATTTTTCCCAGCTTTGATTTCGGTATTTTGTCGACAAATTGGATGCCACCTCTTAACTGTTTGTAGTCGACAAGTTCTCCTGTGAGTAGAAAAATAATTTTAAATTTGTTGTTATTTGAAATAGTGAAAACCATGTTTTATATTTCCGTACTTTTAATAAGCTCAAGAAGTTCATCAGAGTTGAGGGATGGAAGTTTTCGTACAACTAAAGCTTTTGGTATTTCTCCACAAAGTTGATCAGGAATTCCAACCACTCCAACATCTTTAACGCCAGGATGTCTCAAGAGAATATTTTCTATTTCAGCTGGCGGTACCTAGACAGGATACATTAAAATAAATTATATAAGTAAGTTGCATCTATAGAAGAAGAATAAATGTATTTTTGCTTGAATTTCAGTATATAGCCTGACTCATAGCTGAAGTATTCTCAAATATATATTGGTCATCGTCATCATAGATGCTCGTTTAGGCTAGGCCACGGAATCATCTAATTTAAACAATTGAGTTTGTCGTGAATTGAGTGTAACAATCGACTTACACTAATCTTTCCTTTCCTTATATCAAAATCCAAATTCTAAAAAATAATCCGTGCCATACCTGATAGTTTTTGTACTTGATAACTTCCTTGAGACGACCAACTACATATAGCATATCGTTCCTAATATTCCCTATATCACCGGTGTGGAGAAATCCGTCTTTATTTATTGTTTGTTCTGTAGCTTCTCTATTTCTGTAATATCCTTTAGTCATCTAGAAAAAAATCAGATTAGCCCACTCGAAATCCAAAGTCAGTTTCTTTCACTTAAAAAAGACATGTATGAAGTGCGTAGTTGTTCTTTAGCGATGCATCGGTAAGCAATGCATTGTTCATGTTATGTATATAAGGAATTACGACTGCGAGCTGATATCACATTTCAAAACCTGACTGTAGACTCAACATTTCGAGAATTACAAGAAAGACCTTAATTATTTATGGTTTTATTAGTTTTCTGTATTTTAATAGACGCCCATGTTTACTGCTCTGAGTCGTGTTCGAATCAGAGAGATTGACATTGCCTTGAGTAAATTCTTATATATAAAAGTTTCAGTACGTACCTGTGGGCCTTTCACTAAAATTTCACCTTCTTCACCAGACTTCAATTCTTTTCCGGTATTTGAATCAACAATCTGCAAAAAATGGTGAAGTTGAGAAGTTTTCTGTTCGTGGTACATTATGCGTTACTTGTTACCTGCTCCCGTGTTCATGATTTCTATTTCATAGTTGATTGCGTCTGAAGGATTTTGTCTTTTTACGTCATTTTTAAAACTATTTCAATTTCATGTGAGTTCATGATTTAGCTATGAATTGAGCCTTATCCCACACTTTATATTGCGACAAAACATTGAAAAAAAGATCTTACCATCATCTCAACATTGACACTGATCGAACCGACCGCATCGGCGAACGATTGCACATTGTTGTTTGCTGATATAGGAGTAAACTCCGTCATTCCGTAACCTAAACACGTTTGCAAGAATAAGCCAACCGTCTTCGTAAATATATATATATGTTCGAAGGCATGCGAATATTGTAGGTAAGTTTTTTTTTTCTATACGAGGCATACAAGATATGCACAAATTGTGTCATGATTATTGAATGGATAATCTCGTACTCATAATTGCACCTGGATGCTAATTGGTGGGACAAAGGGCACTCCCGTAGTGTGTGTACCAGGTTAGGGTTGGGCCATAATTTCATTCTAATTTTCCTTATTTTAGTTCTATCACGAGTTCGGAGACTGTTAGCTAAATGAATATATCCTCTGCTCATATAGGTTTCAGTCCCTTTACACAACTTGATGTAAAGTAGGTGAACGAAATTAGTTACTTACGTGTTGGTACACACACTTCTGGAATTATATAATTTTCTGCCACACATTCAAAATGAGCATTGCTTTCGTTATATATATTCTTTATATATATATGTATAGTTTTTGACAACAAACTTGGAATCATGTTAAGGTTGAATCGCTCTCTAACAGCTTTCATTATCGATGTTGGAATTGATGAACCACCAGTAACCGATGTTTTCCAAGATGACACATCATATTTCTCGTGTAATTCTGTTTGTGACATTTCCATCATGACTGACGGCACCATAATGTAATTATTCACCTGGACAGATATAGTTTCGTGAAAGATATAAATGCAAATCAAACGTGAGGGCAACTAGAGTGAATAACTTGAGTAGCTACTTTGTAGAAAATTGGAATCCATTTGCTGTCGTTAGCGAATTTCAAAACTCGTGCTTTTTCGGATATTAAGTTTTGCTGTTGTTATACTGATATCTATTAAATGGAAAACATAAACAACCCTGCTATAATGTTTGTAACCTACTTTATGTTACAACAGTGTTTGCTGGTGAAAAATAACATTAACGTAGATCAATAAAAATGGCGATGTTTTTGGAACTGAATTTTATCATACCTGGTATTTTTGAATTGCAGCTAGCATCTTTTCAATATCAAATCAACGATCCATAATAACTGTTAACCCTCCCTGTAAAGCCATCAGGACAAATACAAAACCGCTGACGTGAAACATTGGTCTTTCACTGTATAACGTTTCTCCTCGCTTGTAGCCGAAATGATACCTCCGAATTAACACAAAATTAGGAAGACACACGTATCCCTACCTAATGTGCCTGGTATTTTATCTTGTTACAATGAATCATCTCGCTTGCATGGCACAATTTAAAATTGCTGACTCGTGGACAGGTAAAATGTTCCTTTTTAAATACCAAAAAGAGTACAATATTTTTTTTCCTCTTATGAGTACAATCATTACAGTTAAAATCATTCCGAATGCATTTCAATGATCTAGTCTAGTTGTAACAATCTTATTATTTGATCAACAATTGCTCTTATGTGTGTATTCTCGTAAGCCTTGCTTGAGCATTTGTTTAGGAAAACCAAGGTATATTCCTCTTACCAGTTACATAATATTGATGCAATCATACTATAATGTGTATGCATTACACATTTCGGCATTCCAGTAGTTCCACTAGAATATGGTAAGATGGCCAAATCCTCTTTTGCTGATATTTCAAAATTACAGACCAATTCTTCTGAAAGAATACATTCTGATAATAAATGACATGACATAAAACATTATTATCGAGAAATTCAATTGCTTACCCTGTTGTTTTTCATTTGCTGCAATGCCTTCATCCCATGTTTCAAATTCATTACTTTTTCCAATAATGATGATTTTCTAAAATACAATTTATTGGCTCCATGAAATGTGTCATTTCTAATTGATTGAAATGAGTGAATTTATATACAAGAGACGAAAATGATGGTGACGGAAATACACGGGATGTATGTATATGGTACGAGTGTATAGAAAGAAAGCTAATGACTTATCTAAAATAAATTAATAAAAATGTTGATTGATTGGCACCTATCAGCTTCTTTGAATGCGTATGTATAATGTATGCGTTAGTTTCGTCATTTATTACTTATCGATTTTAATCGGTAAGTATGTTGATAGGTATTTGTCTGTCTGTTTGTTTGCCTGTTTGTTTGTCTGTCTGTCTGTTAGATGCACGCGATATCTCACGAAAGCGAGATTGAATCTGCTCCAGATTTTGCATGTGCATTCATCATATGTCGTACCAGAAGCCTATTGATTTTGGATGAATTATGTCGTATAATTAGCGAGTTATTAATTATTTAGTGATGGGACACAAGGTGTCACTATGGAGTAAGTGCGCTGTTTTGGGGGATCCCCTAACTTTCGATCGATAAGTCTTCGGTCTCTGACCAATATTCTCGTTTTGTTATTATTGAGTTTATAAACTAAATGCGTTTTCTAACTGGAATGGTTCTGAATTGTTCGACAACTCTCTTCACGACATCAATAGTTTCATCAGACGCGATGAGCATCTTTGGTTCCGTGATATTGAAGATATGCTTCATTTCTCCTAGAAATCAGAGAAAAATGCTTTATTACGATTTTGTTAGGAAACTTAGATTGTTAAAAGTGATTGCTTTTTTATTACAGATATATTAGAGTTAGACGCTAAAATAACAAGAGAGCGATGTTCAAACATATGAACACAAAAGACAAAACGAGTAGTACGGGAATGCAACAAGTCACTGTGTAGGCTACCGGTACATCAATCCTCACGACTAACGCGAAAGCCGCCACAAGGTGCGCCATTTTCGAATACGTCATTGCACACCAAAAACGAATTTCATGGAGCCCATAATAAATAAATAAAAGTAAGTCTTTTAACAAAAGATACAATCTTTGACCACTGAAAATACCCAATCAATTAGTACAGTAGGTATTGGAAAAATCGATTTTGTCAAACAATAAGAAGAGAATACCAATAAGAACAACAACACGATAACGAAACGATTCATATGTACATTTCGTGTCCAATAAATACTAAAACATAGATTAAATGTATCGGAATGTATTATGAGCAGTGAGCACGATCGGGCTACCTATTCGGTATTTAACTTATACTTTACCTTCTTTATATGAAGGATTACATGGTGATATAACTGCTCCACAAGATATCACTCCCATCATTGCTATTACATATTCCAAGCAATTAGGAACTATTAGACCAACGACATCTCCCTTATTTATCCCTTGGTTTTGAATGAATCTGCAACACGATTGTATTTGATTGTACAGCTGTCTGAAGGTAAGTTGTTTACCTTCGATGGTGTTTTCAATCTGTTGGAAATGAGAAATCTTTTTTCTGTCATATTTATTTTATATAAACATATACTTCCGGGGAGCGCATGATAATTACTGTATACACAAGAAAATGCTTAATGTGTGAACAAAATTGTTCTGTGTTGCACAAGGTATTACACAGGTTTACCACCTGTAAAAAATAGCTATAAATAATAATTCATACTTACCAGAGCAATTTCGTCCCCATATTCTTTTATACGCGACAGAAAGAAATCGCTAAAAGACACTTCTGGTATATCTAAACCTTCAACCAGTGATTTTACAGGCATTTTGGATTACTATCCGACTTCTGCGGTGAACTGGTTATACAAATTTCTATTAATGATCCAAGGTCATTAAAAATGGTAACTAATTTAATAGATCAAATCGTGTATACATACTAAAGCGTAGCCATCAATTTTGCAAAAATTATGACTTAAAACTATGAATAAAATATATATTTGCCAAATTTATTGATAGTAAAATTCATTTGCTAAGTTATTCGTAAAATCGAACCGTGAAGTATGAAACGAAAATCAATTTGGCTAACCACGGCTTAATTAACTACAAATATACCTCTATTTAATAAAGTTATGCGCAATGTGACTGCAATTTCATTATTAATAAGGCATACTTCATTACGTTATTGTCATACCAGGTAAATTTCTTATATTTTGTGTGCTTTATTTTTTAAAGCATTTCAAGTCCCTTTAAACTTTATAACATAATCTTACATATAATTCTTTCTGCTCTACGAGAGAAATCTGAATACATTTACTTCGATCATACACCTTATAGAATGCCCCAAGCTCAGTTCAGTCGCATTTATCGACTGAAACAGCGAGTAAACAAAAATGTTATTTACTATTCGTTTTACAGGTCTAAATATTCGTAGCGCTAAAAAGGACTTATTTGTTCACCTCTGTTCTATTTGTGATCCCATTTGTTACGTAGAAACCACGGTTATGAGGAGGTTTTTTATTATTGAAATGTTATCCTCGTTTTCTCTCACATTCTATAAATTTTGTCTTCCTTTCTGCGGAAAAGTAAGTTAGGGTTGCAGACATACGTTTGTGGGCATGCATAAGTCATTATGCAAACATACTAAACAAATAGACTAGCCAACAGTGGTAGGTACTTATGAGACATGGACCATGTTGTTTTTCATAAAAATGAAACATTATTGTTAAGGCAATACAGTATCACTTGATTTAATTGTTATGTTGTTATAGACATACCCCTTAGTCATTTTAAACTTCTTTTGGTGCTCCCGAAGTATGCGAACCAAGATGGCGGACATCGGAACGTAACATGGGTAACAGGTTAGGGTTAGGCGATGATTTTTTTCCAATTTTCCTTATTTTAGTCCTATTATCAGTTCGAAGACTAGCCAAGAGCCTCCCGTAGTATTTATATCTAAAATTATGGCCTAACCCTAACCTAGTACACATATTACATTCCGATGTCCGCCATCTTGGTTCGCATACTTCGGGAGCCCCGACAACTCTTGCCTTTGAGTTGTCTTTGAGGCGATGATTTTTTTCCAATTTTCCTTATTTTAGTCCTATTATCAGTTCGAAGACTAGCCAAGAGCCTCCCGTAGTATTTATATCTAAAATTATGGCCTAACCCTAACCTAGTACACATATTACATTCCGATGTCCGCCATCTTGGTTCGCATACTTCGGGAGCCCCGACAACTCTTGCCTTTGAGCGTCACTTATGGAGAAAAATAAGGAAACATGATTTATACTCAGTAACTGCCTGACTTCGCTACACAAAAAGCTCGTAGGTAAAAATAGTTTGATGCTGATTTCGTATTCAGATGAAAGTAGTAAATTGTAAATTTGTAATGTCAAATTTATTTCATTTCACAAATATTTTATATACTGGTTACAGAGAAGATGAATGGATTGAATTTGTTTATTACATTTATTCAAATACTAATTTACGTGCTCATGTTATCATATAAATGTCGCATAGCAAAACGTTAAAGTTGGAATAGCTACAAACAAAAAGGAGAATATTGTAGAAAGTTCATATCACATGAGTTCACTTCGCATTGGATTGAGATGATACAGACAACCCCTTGTGCATCCTGCATCGAAAAGTTCCATCTTATAGTAGTATGAACTACTTCGAGATATACCGCAATATGCTTATAATTGGAAACGAATTTTTCTCCAGCTAATGAACTATAATCATTGATACAAAGGTTATTTCTTTGGAGAAATTGGAAGTATAGATAAATATGCAAATTTTAGAAGATCTTATATTTAAAGATGAAACTCATAAAGAATGTGACTAATTAACTTTTATGAAAAAGGAATTTTTTTCACACTTGGATACTCAGCAAATCTCATTCGGAAGCTATTTGAACCTTTAAGGGTAAACAATTGATTCAAAATTTCGTTTTCTATTTTGTTTGAACAGCACTAATGATCTCAATAACTTCATTAAAATGAGAGCAAGATGGACATTCGAAAATTGAATTTCGTATTTTTGTTGTATCTGGACCGTGTTTGAGTTCTTTTTATGTCAGTCTAATGAATTTTGTTGTAAAAATTAATTTTTCAACAATGTTACAAATTCATTCGATTGCAATGCGCTAATCAAATACTAATATAAAGTAATGTTCGTATCATCAGGCAAAATTATCATCGTGAACCGGTTTTGAAAACCTTAGGGGTCCGTGATAGAAAAGTTTGGGAACCACTAGTCCAGCGTTATTTTGTCGACATGCCATGAGTCGGTTTTTGAATCCACATAAAATTGTTTATGTGACTTTGAAAAATTATATATTATATTATTACCACGATAAAATATATATACCTCATTTTCTTGGTGAAAAAATTCATTTGGTTGAATTTAAAAAATATGCCCGACAAGTATATAGGCTACATTGTACACAACTTTGGCCGCGAGGTCGCAATCTTGTAAATGCAGATAGCAAAAATGTAACAAAAAGTAGGCTGTATCTCGCAGGGCTTATTATTATACAATTTTACTTAGATCAACAATGTTTGAAGTAAATGCTCAAATTCCCGTGGTTCTTGTAACATAGATGTTTGAAAAAGCGCGGTATTCGGGGCTTATATTTATGCAGACCCTCTTTTTGGAAGTTTTGCAAAACAACATCCGTGGCCAAGTGAGATAAGGGAAAGGAGCAGCCACCCAGGACAGCACGTTGTAGTGGAAGCAGATCCAAGCTGTAGAGTGCACGTTATTGCACATGTTTTTCTCAATGTGTTTTTATAGACGTAAAACCTGACATTACGTGGATAGTGTTTTGTTTGATTGATTAGCATCGAGAAGGAATGCCTGACAAGCAAAGTGAAAGAAGCTGTCGTTCATAAAATTTGTTGTCAACAAAGGAGCGATTAGACACCACAATGAGTGAGTTGCTTTTTGTTAATAAATGAGTTTGATCTTATACACGTGAGTTTGTTGCTTAGTTTGATGATTTAATTATTACTAATACAAAATTTCACTCTTACTTGACCTTTGACTTCTTCATTCTTACGTATAACAACATTTATAATTTGTTCATCCCCGAATAATTTTTGAATTCAAGGGGCATAATTATCAGAAACTAGCCCTGGGAAGCAATAATGTTTGACACCCCCGGGATAAGGGGTGAGCATTTCATGCAAAACCTCCCAAAAATGACATTTAAATATTCGGATGCATGCAGCAGGAATTGAATTTTTATTGCAAAGATTATCTACTACCTATTTAATTACATTTACATTTAATTACATGTTTATTTAGGTGTGAACGAGGATTTAATATACGAACATAAAGTTATTGCGTAAGCAAGCTAGATTGAATAGGATTTGAAGAATGTCCTGACGCTAAAAACAATAATAGAACTATAAAAATATGTAAAAGTAATAGTTATGTAGCAAATAGTAACCGTTTTACAGAATTATGTCAAATGAAGCCCTTTTGTACCCGAGGTTGGTACGTTTAAAAACGGACCCTACTGAATATAAGCACGTGAGAAAATATCAGAAATACCAGACTGCTGATTGGCTATTTGAAAAATAGACTCGGAATCGTTGTTGACTTTTTGCGATTGCTTATATAGCTGTTTCAATCGTGTGCTGCTCATATATATATATAACTGCAACGAATATCGTTGCCGAGGTGAATGTATTGTGTGTGCTGTTTGGGCCAATGAGTGTTCAGCTGCGAAATACGTTTCAACTCTAGCCGACTGTAGGCATAGCTCACACTATTGATAGGCTTTCTGGATTTCAAAGAAGCCGTGTTGTAACATACGGTCAGCAAATGGAAATAATAAACAATAACCTGTTTTCTCGTAACAGCCAGGTGTATTTGTAAGATTTCATTAGATCATTGTCTAACTACAACTAGAAATAAGATCAAAATGCCGGTAAAATCTCCTCATGGAATGTTAGATATTCCAGAAGAAAATTTGAGCGATTTCTTTTTGTCGTGTATAAAAGAATATGGCGACGATATTGCAATGGTAAGTATCAAGTTTTATTCATAAATGTTTGATAAACTTTCAAATATCTCGCTAAATAGTTTTAACGTTTAACGCGTGAACTAGCAGAATTTTCAACTTTTGCAAAACGTGTTGTACAATGGTTGAAGGCGCCTATCTCAACATAAAATAGGTAATATTGACCTTGAAGTTAGCGACCGTTTACCAATTTTTTTTTTCGTTGACGGTCAAGTTTTGATGCCAATTTTTCATGCGGTCCATGGCGATATAGTGATGCAAACATGCTTTGCTATATAAACATTTACTTCAAATCAAAGATTCATCGACAGATGCCAGCGTAGTTAAGTTGCTTGTGGGTCAAATCATGCTCTAATGCGCAAGTATTTCGTCGCTGTTTGCATTGTGGCATGCAAAGAAACGGTAAACGGTAAAGAAACGGCTACAAGCGATGCCTCGCGTTGACCACCAAAACACTTGATAATCCACTCCTATTTATTTTAATTTGTGTCAAGCTATTGTTAAGAACATGGACATAAATCCTCATCCTAGCGTTATCGTGCAATGTTATTGCAAGGTTGCAAAAGATCGATGAGCCTCATAACCACGTTCCACATTATGGGACGCGAAAAAAAACTGCTTCAATATACAAATCACATAAAGCTGAGAAACTCTGCACATTCTGTTACTTTTGAATGCAGAAACATTATGATCAACTATCCCTGCAACGCAATTTTGTCTAAGCACTAAATATAGGCTTTTACGACTTGTAATTTGTAAGAACGAATATGACCCGTAACCGGATTTTTACGATTCGAGTCACTTTGTTTGTTAATTCCTCAAACAGATTGACAACACCATCGAAGATAAACAACTCACTTTCAGGCAGCTGCACAATCAAATACAATCGTGTGGCAGATTCATTCAAAAACAAGAAATAAATAAGGGAGATGTCGTGGGTCTAATAGTTCCCAATTGCTTGGAATACGTTATAGCAATGATGGGAGTGATATCTTGTGGAGCAGTTATATCACCATGTAATCCTTCGTATAAAGAAGGTAAATAATAACAATAAGTAGAATACAAAATGTGTAGCTGATTTCTCATTTATAATAGATTCTCAAATTTTTGTGTTACGTTTGCTACATTAATCTTACCAGATATTGTGTTAATGAAATGCGATTTAATCCAAAATGTAGTTTCAAACGAGCAATTACACGTGCCTGGTATAATCAGGAAGAAACACTTTACACATTTGAGTCCTGAAACAAAATCTTAATAAAGCGTTTGTCTCTAATTTATAGAAGAAATGCAACACATCTTCAAAATCACGGAACCGAAGATACTTATTGTATCTGACAAAACTATCGATGTCATAAAGAGAGTTGTCGAACAATCCAAAAGCATTCAAGTCAGATAAGCCTATTAATTCTAAAACTAATAGTAGTATTCTAGGTATGAATAAAAACCACCAACCTTCGTGTGTTTGATTATGAACACTCTACGAAAAGGAATTATATACCATAGAAAACATGTGTTCAGAATTCAGATCGTTCGATTCGTCCTCTATTTTTAATTGTTACTTTAGGGATATTTATATTGTAAGGACCACCATTTTACAATTTGTTCAGTCTATATGCAAATGTATTATTGTCAATAATGGATGAAAGTAACTCATTATAAATGTTTAAGTATAGTTATAATCTTCTTTTCTCTTATTTTTAATCGAAAATGAATCTATTTCTTTTTTTTTATTTTAGAAAATCATTGTCATTGGAAAGAGTGATGAATTTGAAACGTTGGATAAGGGTATTGCCGCAAATGAAAAAGAGCAAGGTAAGTCATTCAATATTCGACATAAATAAATTTATCCTTTTCATTTACTAAATGTTTCATCTTTTATTAGCATTGGTCCGTAATTTTGAAGTATCAGCAAAAGATGATTTGGCCATTTTACCATATTCAAGTGGAACTACTGGAATGCCGAAATGTGTAATGCACACCCATTACAGTATGATTGCAACGTTATTATCTAGCTGGTAAGAGAAAAGAAATGTATTTACCCGAAAAGATTGATAAAATTATTATTCTCCGATATTATAGTTCTGAAAAAAGAAGGCCTTTTTTATAATCTTACTAGATTAATTTTTTAAACATTATCAGGAATGGTACTGGTTTGGTTGCGATTGGGTTCTGGTTTATTAGGGTCCAAGATTGATTATGCGTTGTTTCCAAGGAATCATCTCGGCTTCAAACGAGGAGAAACGCTCTACAATGAAAGGCCAATGTTCCATGTCGGCGGGTACATGTTTGTTTTGATTTCTCTGCAGGGAGGGTTGTTTGGGAGAGTTATTATGGATCGTGATTTTGATGTTGAAAAGACGCTAATTGCGATACAAAATTACCAGGTATGACAAAAGTCAGTTCCAATATCATCGATAATTTCTTTAATACATTTTTGGTCACAACTTCAACTCTTTTAGTACATTTTACGCTACTGACGATTCTCTTGACTTCGTAAAGTAACATTGAAAGAGAATAAATACTGCAAAAGTTATCCAAGCATGATTGCACTTCAGCCTTTCATAAAACCATATCAATCTAGGTGAATCATCTCATGATGGTACCGCCAATCATGCTGGAAATGTCTCAAACAGATTTACACAAAAAGTATGATACGTCATCATGGAGATCAGCTTTGACCGGTGGAGCGTCAATTCCAACTTTGATTATGAAAAATGTTAAGGAACGGTTCAGCATTCAAATGCTTCCAGGTTTGTTGACAAAAACTGTAGCCAGAGTTTGGGTGAGGAATTATCTATTTGATTGATCACGGCACAATTTATCGTGTTTGTTAATTAACATTTTTTATTGAGAATCTCACTCAAATATATACACGAACTCACAAAATAAAAAGGGAGCAAACTTATTTTAACGGACCATAATATTTAGGTTACGGAATGACGGAATTTGGCCCTATAGCAGTGAACGGCAATATACAATCGTTCGTGGATGCTGTCGGATCAATCAGCGTCAATGTTGAAATGATGGTAAGATTTTATTTTTAATGTTTTATTGATATTTTGGGATATATTTCAACTCATAGCTAAATCATAATCTTATATGATATTGAAAGAATCGTGAAAATGTGTTGAAAATATAAATTACATTTGTCCCAAATCAAATATACATTAGAAAATAATATGTAGAACACGTAAGTTCAGATAAGCCGATAACACAAGTTAATGAGAAAATGCAGGTTTTAGATAACACGCTGTCATAATGAGATAAGAGGTGAAGGTCAACACTGCACATCAAAACCACACTCTTTTATTCATTTTCATGTTAATTTTTGCAGATTGTTGATCCAAATACCGGAAAAGAAATGAAATCCGGCAAAAATGGTGAAATTTTAGTCAAAGGCCCGCAGGTACGTCCTGAAAATTTTATGAGAATTTGCTCAATAGCAATCCCAAGCGCACTCATTGAAAAGAGAAGTGAACTTGACGGAAAGTTCAAATACAATCATGGCATGGTATAAAGCTGATCATGAAACCATAAAAGAAGATACATAACGTGAACAATTTATTGCTCGCCAATGTCACATCGCTGTCACACCGGCTTTAGCATTTTCTATTGGATTCCAAAAGAGCTAATCTAATTTTTTCTAGATGACTAAAGGATATTACAGAAATAGAGAAGCAACAGAACAAACGATAAATAAGGATGGATTTCTCCACACCGGTGATATTGGGCATATTAAAAACGATATGCTGTACGTAGTTGGTCGTCTCAAAGAAGTTATCAAGTATAAAACTTTTCAGGTAAAGCACTTATATTTCAACATGAACTCAAGCTTTTCATATTTTGATTTTATCTTGAATAGGTAGGATATAGAGCAATTCAAAACAGTGAATTTCATAACAGGATCTCATTTAGCCAATAAGATTTGTCATCAGATCTAAGCTGTAGAGTTCGCGTTTTTGCATGCGAGATTGTTGCTTAGTTTGGTGCCTTAACTAATAATACAAATATTTCACTCCTACTTAGCCTCTAATTTATTCATTCTCATGTAAACAACATCTATATCTTTTTTTATCCACCGAGTTATTTTTGAACTTAGGTATATAGGGTTATCTTAGTTATGTATTTTACTCTATTATATCATGTTTAGGTAACACCAGCCGAAATTGAGAATGTTCTCTTGAGACATCCTGGCGTTAGAGATGCTGGAGTAGTTGGAATTCCTGATCAGCTTTGTGGAGAATTACCAAAAGCTTTGGTTGTACGAAAACTTCCGTCCGTCAATTCTGATGAACTTCTCGCGCTCATTAAAAGTAAGGAAATATTAAAAGTAATTCATATTCATCTATTCAATTACCAATAAAACTATTGCTGTAATTACAGGAGAACTTGTCGACTACAAACAGTTAAGAGGTGGCATCCAATTTGTTGACAAAATACCGAAATCATTACTGGGAAAAATTGATCGCATAGAGTTGAAGAGAATGACCACAAATCAAGAAAGAGTATAAATTGTAGCCCAAATGTAATAATGGAAAATATAATCGAATGCGCCTTTCCCATCCGGTAGTGTTAAAATAAATCAACTAATAGCATTACAAGCAGGTTTTACATCTTACTTGAAATATTCACGTTCCATAATACATGTGATTAAATATCAGTGATATACTGGGATATTACGTCACCATTTGCAAAAATGAACCATAGTATCAGCTTATGATAAATAGTTCCTGTTCCTATATGAGAATAAAACTCTAGATTGCAAATATATGATGCAAATAATATTGTAATACTGACAACATCACCTGTTTTATAACAATACGTAGCTTCAAGGGTGAATAGAAATTTCATCCATATCCGGGAAGGTAATAAGAATATAGATTTATGCATCAAACGACAAATATTGGCATGGTTTAGCGCCTATATAAATGGAAAATATTTTATTTTATATTCAGTTCAGTTATAGCAGAATAGAACGAATCTAATATTTGCATGTTCAACATTCTGTCCATTTCAAGTTTCAACTAACATTTATTCAAAAGTATGCAAGTCGCCCAAATGTTTCAAACCTATTTCAATTCGAACACTTGTATATTTTTGCATAGTTTTTGCAATATAAATTCAATATGTGCCAAATTCTCTTAGTTGAAAGAATGATATATCATAAAAAAAATGGAAAGACATGTAATATTGTATATAGTTAACAAACATGAGAGATATTTATGAAATTCATACCGAACTTGTTATTTCGATATACGACGATATATCTTAGTCATGTACCGAAAGCATCTGTTTTATTTAATATTCATATATGTATGCATATATCATTTTCTTGGTTTGATAAAATGAAATAAACTCTTTCTAACTCACTCTCTCGCTGATTTCAGTTTGAATTACAAATGCATCTAGTGAATTTCAAAATGATAACAGAAGTCATTCCGAGGTCGTGGCTTTGTTACTATTGGTTACAATTTATAAAAAAAAAACATGGGAATAAATGATTCGGTTACTTCCTGGAAAATTGATTTATTAGTCAAGTTCCTATTAATAGATTCGCAAAAAAATAGTGATGACCTCTTCTTATTTACTCGATGTTACTGCCCCTAAATGCTCCTGGTAAACGACTTCTTATGTACACATGCGTGGATTGATTTACAAAATGAATAGTAAATAACATCCTTGTTTACTTACTGTTGTCGCGGTGGAAATGTAATGGTACAAGGTTTGAATAACAGATTTTTCTGATAATTGTGGTTAATAAACAAGTTTGGAATTGGCGATTTCGTTCAAAATAAATTTTATTACCTAGGGTCCCACCTCTTATTTATGACTGAGGTCATTTTATTTTAGATCACTTCAGACTTGGACTTATTGATTTTTAGGGCTTTGAATAGGGATTATTTAAATATCGGTTCGCCGGAAACCTCGGATATCAATCGAAATTCCTGTAAAATCGCTTCTTGAAGCTTTAAAGTACCCAGAAGTAGCTTTTGACGAGTTCTTCCTGTCGCGCATAAAAGAATATGGCGACGAAGTTGCTTTGGTGAGTATCAATTATCTTAATCAGCTTAATCAGGTATTTCAAAAAGGTGGGTATTGTGTATAATGCTATGCATATACAATTGCAGACAAATTTCATTGTATCATTAATCTTTCAACGATAGCGCAGAGTGGGTAATACGCTGCGATTAGTGAAAACTTGCGTGCCCCTGAAATATTATGCCTCGTTCTAGTCCATGCAGTCGTTGGTCTGGTCATCACAATTCAATGCTAAATACGCCAAGATGTTGTTACAAGTACTTCTCGACTATTGTGCTTTTGATTCATTTTTTTTAATATTGTCATTTGCCACTTATCGGAATTGAAAACGCTCGTTTTTTTATCGTAAAATTGGCATTGCATGACTTTTATATGAAGAAAGCTGTTTTGGAATAATATTATTGTTTTGTCTAGATTGAAAACACCAACGAAGGCAAACAATTAACTTTCTGGCAGCTTTACAAGCAGATACAATTGTGTGGCAGATTTATTCAGAAGCAAGGAATAAATAAGGGGAATGTCGTTGGTCTAATAATTCCTAATTGCTTGGAATATGTAGTAGCACTGGTGGGAGTGATATCTTGTGGGGCAGTTGTATCACCATGTAATCCTTTATATAAGGAAGGTAAATATAAAGAAATTTACTAAATTTTTCTACAATGATAACTTAACAAAGAAGAGTTGTCAATATTTGAGTCAATATGATGAAAATATTATAATATTTTAAAACTATAACAATTATTCTAATATTACTTTGAGTTGGGGTTACGCGAGACTAACTTCCTATCTTTCCTCTATGCCTTTGTGTTAGTGGATCCACATGAGTATTTTGCAAAGATGCTGTGGCAGTAATAAACATGACTATTAACTGACCGACTATCACTATAATATATTGGTTGTATACTGCTTATCTGCGAAAGTCTGAAACCAATAAATACATTTGTGATAGTGTGAAGCAGCACTCTCGAATTTCGTAGTATCTTCTTATATTAGACGTAGATTGGATATATTTTTTGCGTAGCTTTTTCTATTTAAGTAAAAAGTCTTTTTTGTCATGCTTCCCCCGAGTTATTTTATTATTTTTACTGTTTAATTTATTTTTTCAAAATGCCTCCAAATGCGAATCTTTAAACAAATAAATTTCTATAATATAAATAACAAAACGTAAGTTGAAAAACAAACAAAAATTAAAAAATTAATGAGAAAATTATTAGGCAGGAAGGAGTTTTAAAGACTTACGGCGTCAAAAAACTTTTAGAAACGAAATTTCGTTGTCAAGTATCAACGTCAAAATTATAAGAATAGAAATGAGAACTATCAAATTTAGTGAAACGATTATCAATATGTTTGGCAGAATGAGAGCAGTTCAAAGTTATTCTTCCATTGCTGAGTTTCACAACGATGCTTTGAAATGTTAAAAGGAGTGAGGACGCTACTTCGGTATTCCATGTCAATGATTCGTACAGTTGATGTAAACATAACGAAATCCGCAATTCCCCTTTTGAGCGCTTGTAATTCTCCATGCGTTGTATGGTATGGTTGTATGGTATTATATAAAAATGTATATAGAGATATGAATACAATTTGTGCCATCAGAAAATATGAGTAAACTACAAGTGAAAGGAAGCGAATGAGGAAACCAATGATGAATATTAAATACTATACTATGAATAAAATTTGAGCCTTGTTGAACACAAAACATATTAAAATAAGTAAAGTTAAGGTTAAGAGATTTAAGAAAAATGACGCTGATGTTGCAAACCAAACTCTGTCGAATGTGTTCTTGAAATTTTTATCAGTGTCATTTGGTTTGCAGGAGAAATGCATCGCATTTTTAACATCACGGAACCGAAAATGCTTATCGTATCTGACAAGATAATCAATTTGGTGAAACGAGTTGTCGAACATAATCCAAACGTTCAGGTCAGTTCAAGACACTAACTTTGTCACATGAGAGAGCTGGTATGGCATCAGACAATATTTCCATTTGGAAGTAATTATTTCTTACGCCTTCTCTATATTTTATTTAATATTTTGCTGTCACTCACTATTACACCTTACGAATTCTTATTAATTTGAATAAAATGATTCTTGTACTTGTTTCCTCTCGTTTCCTCCTTATTACTTCTCTGAACTAACTCTAAATATTAATGTGTATTGTAGAAAATCATAGTCATGGGGGAAAGTGATGAATTTGAAACTTGGGATAAAGTTATGGCTGTAAATGAGGAACAACTAGGTAAGAAAGTCATTGTTTATTGCAAAAATAATTGCTTTTTTCCAATTATTCATGTGTATTTAGTAGACTTGGACCGTAATTTCAAGATATTGCCAAAATAGGATTTGGCAATCTTACCATATTCAGGTGGAACAACAGGAATGCCGAAATGTGTAATGCATACTCATTTCAGTCTGATTGCAGCGTTATTGTCATCCTGGTAAGAAAAAATAATATATTATATTAATGAATCAGTAAAATTATTCAAAAGATATCTTTGGTGATAAATGATTACAAACTAAAATGCTGTGTTAGATGCGTGAATATTTTAGGTATCAGCAAGGTTTCGGTTACAAAAGGGGAGATACATTTTACAACGAAAGTCCAATGTTCCATAATGGCGGGTTTCTTTTGCTTCTAAGAGCTCTGCAGGGTGGGTTGAGAGTTGTAATGGACCGAGACTTTGATGTTGAACGAGTGTTTGTTACGATACAAAAATACAAGGTAAGTTTTTTTATTATTGTTTTTCTTATGCAGGTTCGGTCCGAATATTTACACACGTTGCCACAGATTCGTAATTTTATAACGTTATATTTAACAACAGGTGAATCACTTTTTAATGATACCGCCAATCTTGTTGGAAATGTCCCAAACACAGTTACACAAAAAATATGATACGTCATCATGGCATCAATCCCGGCATCAATTGTGAAAGTTGTTAAGGAACGGTTTAAAATAAATATAGTTCCAGGTTGGGTATCTAAATCTATCATAGCGTATGATAAGATGATTTCTTATTACTAAGATATAAAATTTACTATTGAATATCGGAGCCATTTTCAATGCATACTAAAATATTATTTACCACCACCTACACATTCCTCCTCGCCATTGACAGTACATTGTTTCCAAAATCCAGTCACAGTCTGCAATAGTTCTATATATTTGAGGTTATGTATTAACAAATGCAAATCTGAAACATTCATTCTTCAAAAGTTGACCGGATAGCCGTTGTACATTGTTTCTTTATAAAACATGATATAAATATAATATGAAACCAACTGAGTAAGTTGTACTGCAGACGTCTTACTTTTAAAGCAAGTGAACCTATTTATTTGATTGTGTTTAGGTTACGGAATGACGGAATGTGCTCCAATATCTTTAAACTTTCAAGCTGAAACATTCCCTGAATCAGTAGGTTCGATCTGGGTCAATGTTGAAGTAATGGTAAGTTTCGTGGGAATACAAAAGGTGTTGATATTTGACGCATAACTATGTGATGAACACTTGTCTGAGAGTGAAATGGTCGAAAGAGGGAACATGAAGCGAAACGAGAAATCATTCCAAACACAATTAAATTGAGAAAAAAGTCTCAGAAATAGATTTTTAAAACAAAAGTGATCTAGTGAATTCATCTTATAACATCCTCACACAAAAACAATTTTTTTTAATATCATTGTTTGTTTTACAGATTGTTGATCAAAATACTGGTAAGGAACTGAAATCTGGCAAAAATGGAGAAATTTTGGTCAAAGCCCCGCAGGTGTGTTTGGAATCTCATTTATTCCGCCCTTTCACAGTCTATAAGTATTTCTATAAGTATTCATTATCACTGTTGTAATTGAAAAAACTTACTAGGCCTACTTGATTCAGAGAGGGAGATTGGCTTATTTCGTTTTCTAGATGACTAAAGGATATTATAGAAATAAAGAAGCTACAGAACAAACGATAAACAAAGACGGATTTCTACACACCGGTGATATTGGACTTATTAAAAATGATATGCTATATGTGATTGGGCGTCTCAAGGAGGTTATCAAGTATAAATCTTTTCAGGTGAACCATCAATGTTTTTCCAAAGTTTGATTCAATTAGAAAGAGTTAGAAAATACGTTACCCATATGATTAACAGGAGATTTAGTTTTTCGATACGTGTTTGACCCAGTTAAAGCGAAAACATGTAACAAGAAATTGCCAGTCATATTTTCGAGAATACAGCTATGAACAGGCTATAATAAAAGTTATAAAAAATGAAAAATTGATTGAATAAAACCAATGTTATCTATTTATGTCATTTACTTATATAATTTTCAGGTGCCGCCTGCCGAAATAGAAAATATTCTTTTGGGACATCCTGGTGTTGGAGATGCTGGAGTGGTTGGAATTCCTGATCAGCTTTGTGGAGAATTACCAAAAGCGTTGGTTGTACGAAAACTACCATCTGTCAACTCTGATGAACTTCTTGAGCTTGTTAAAGGTACGAAATCATAAAAAAATTACTCTAGTTTCGACATTTGAGATAACAATAAAATTATTTTCCTAATTACAGGAGAACTTGTCGACTACAAACAGTTAAGAGGTGGCATCCAATTTGTTGACAAAATACCAAAATCAAAAGTGGGAAAAATTGATCGCATAAAGTTGAAGAAAATGGCTACTCAGTAGTTAAAGAAATTGGCAACCAATCACAAAGAAATACAAATTGTAGTCGAAGTATAATAATAGAAAACATAATTACCTGCTCGAAAACCCAGTGTTGAAATAAATCAACAAATAGCATTAAAAACATATCCTGAGTCTTTAGTGAAAATATGCCACTTTAGCGAATGTGGAATATGCCTATGGATTTTAATGTTATTTCACCGCTTCGTATCAATAGCTTGTTGAATTCAATAAAAATAGGTCATTTTAGCAATTTCTCTGATGGTGATTTATTGTAGCAAAGATTTTATGCTGAGCCTTCTTTGTATCGATCAATCTGTGTCATGTTTCCGGCCTCCATTCGAGAGTTTTGAGAAATATAGGTTTTTCAGGATTTTGCATTATTACTGATTTGGATTTCAACCGTGAAACTGATATTGAGGCTTAAGTTTATCTTTCAATATGTCTGTTTGTATTCAATTCAATCGTACAACTTCACAATATACGAACATTGGCATTACAATCTATTGTGTGCTTATCGACCTCTGATGTAGTCAGTTGGAGTTTACTCCGCTAACGTGCGTCTATAAAAAGTAGTGGGGTAAAGGTATGCAGATATAGGAACATTCTTACCATACCACACATTCAGTGAAATATTTGGTTAAAGGACAAAAAAAAAATTCAATTGTTGCGTCAATCTTGTGTTATTTCTGAATAACCATTACTATGAAGATAAACAACGAAGTTGCTGCTCGTGGAAACATACCTCGTCCCAATGGCAAAAATCGGCCAAGCGGAAAAAAGATATAGACTCAAATCTTAATGTAAGTAATAAGACAATACCGTCCTGGCCACGAAAAATCAAATAATATTACAAATTAAATTGAGTGAACGTTTCGACTTCTCAGGAATCATGTCGCTGAGTTTATAGATAGATTTGTAATTGATATATATATATATGTTTCCAGTGCACTTGCGAACGCTGTGGACATCTTTCGCGGACTCGTTGAAGGTGTGTGGAACCCCGGTCGCGAATCACTGGGCTAAACGTAATTATTTCTAATGTTCTAGCTTAAAACAAAAGGACGTTTTCCCGGCCCTTGGCCTAAAAAAAATAAAAACTTCCTATACTTCATCATTGCAAAAAGTTAATGTTTATTTTGTCAGTAGATCGGCGAGTTTACGCATATGCAACTCAACGGGAAAAATTTTTTATGAAAGAACATTTGCAAGCAAGTGCTTTTGTGTATAGTGTTTTTGTGTCTTCCTGTACATTATAGCGTGTGGAACAATAACACAATACAATATTTAACCAACTAAATTTTCTTTCTTCAAATCAATGAGGTATATACATATTTTATTGCAATAATATTATGCAAATATCTATTGAAAGTCAATACAGCATTATGTGGGTTCAAAAACCGAACCATGGTACTAACGGCAATGCTAAACTTTTTAAGTTACGTCCACCCGACAAAAAATATTGAGCCGGTGAACCCCTAATATTTTATAACGGACCCATAATTTTTTAACGACCAACACTGATAATTTTGCACAATTAACTAACATTGATTAATACTACTGTAATCGAATCAATTTATAATATTATTTATGAAAAGAAATTCTACAACGAAGAAATATATTAATTACAAACTTCAAATCTACGTTTTCAAAGAGACAACTTCAATACCAATGCGCCCACTTCCTGAAATGTCTGATTCCGGAAACCATGTCATATGCACGCGTAATAAGCATTCCAACGTCTCGTTTTATTATGTGAATTTTTTTCAAATGTTAATCCATTCCCCCCAAAATATGTCAAACTTAACAGAAAAAGAGCTCCCGGACGGAATGGTACATTTGATTATATTTTTATTATAACATTTCGGCCACAATTTGCATTCTTTTGTATTTAGTAATCAATTTCTTCAACTATAGCATAGCCAATTTCTTCAACTCTATGCGATCAATTTTTCCTAACTTTGATTTCGGTATTTTGTCAACAAATTGAATACCACCTCTTAATTGTTTGTAGTCGGCGAGTTCTCCTAAAATAAGGGAATACTTTTTTATTGCTGTTTGAAATAGTAAAAACATGAGTAATTTTTCTATATTTTCCTACTTTTAATAAGCTGGAGAAGTTCATCAGAATCGACGGATGGAAGTTTTCGTACAACCAACGCTTTTGGTAATTCTCCACAAAGTTGATCAGGAATTCCAACCACTCCAGCATCCCTAACACCAGGATGTTTCAGAAGAATATTTTCTATTTCGGCAGGTGGTACCTAAACATGATGAAATAAAGGAAGATACATAACTAAGAAGTAATTTTGTAGGTATATCATGTGTAGGCCTAGTTTTGTTTAAATTCTTGTATAGTCTAACTCGTAGCTGATGTATTCTCGAAATATATTTGATATAGGTCATAGGACATTTATCATCTTATGTTTTCGTAGACTGGGTCACAGAATCATCTAGAAACATATGCCTTTGCTGCCTATCGGGTTTAGCAGCCGACAGTTAATTTGAACAGTGGAGTAATTTCCCCCCTTTCTGTAACGGAATCGAATTCTGAAATAATAACCGGCGTTTCACCTGGAAAGTTTTATACTTTATAATTTCCTTGAGGCGACCAACTACATATAGCATATTATTTTTAATATGACCGATATCGCCGGTGTGAAGAAATCCGTCTTCATTTATTGCTTGTTCAGTAGCTTCTCTATTTCGGTAATATCCTTTAGTCATCTGAAAAAAAAATTAGTATCTCTATCTGAATCCACTGATCACTTTTCGTTACTCTAAATCAGGGTGATCCAAGGTTGTGGGCTCCGCGGGCCACAACATTATTTTGGCACTGGTCGCGGGCCACAATAGTACCAAGGATAGGTAAACAGTGCAGTACAAAACAAGCACTCTTATTGTGTAAACACATAGTTATCAGGCATTGCCAAACTAATATAATGGGATCCGCATTGGATTTTTAGTTTTCTATTATGCCTATATTGTTAGCATTTATCCCCAACCAAAACGATAGAAATCCAGGTAACAATTTAAACTGCCCATCACATCAATCAACTTCGCTAGTTGCTTCAGTTAGTCATCATACTAGTCAATTCAGTCACAGTGGTGATATAACAACAATATGTCAAACGATTTTTCTGATTTATTTTATGAGAAGCAATTTAAAATACGATATTTTGATTACTCCTCGAATGCGGCGCGGGCCACAGATAATGGAGCGGCGGGCCACATGCGGCCCGCGGGCCTGGGTTTGAACCACCCTGCTCTAAATGAAAACGCTGAAACCATTGTGGTGATAGTGATAGTTATTTTTGTAGCTACTTCATTAGTAATCAATATATCGTTTCGTGTCATCTTGTATAGCTTATCATCAATCAGGTTCATAAAAAGACACAATTGTACTTATTTAAAACAACTTCAAAACATCTTCTCATATTTCAGTTTTCAGCGGTCTTCTTGCTTTCAGTCAAGTTCAAATGAATGCGTGTAGTGTTGCCGCAAACATATTTTCATAAAATTTTCAGAATATACCTGCGGGCCTTTGACTAAAATTTCACCATCTTCGCCTGACTTCAATTCTTTCCCTGTATTTGGATTAGCTATCTGTAAACAATTGCATTTAAAAGTACTGTGCTGGCTTTCACGCAGAGGCGATTTTACCAATAGGCCAATAAATCTCGAAATATTATTCTTTTCTGGGGTCATGTCATTATATTACAGCTTTGAGTTTCTGAAGAGGTTTTTAAAATTAGCTTACTGTCAAATCTACTAGCGTACGCATTTAGCCTGTAACTAAAATTTTGTATTCACACAATTCAAAATTAGTTATGTTAATCTTTGTTACGTCATGCCACATTTAACATAAACCCGAAAAGCCTGTTAGGAGGTAAAAATGAATTTTTTGTGATGTCGAAGATAAAGGGCCGTCACTAGCGGCATAGTCCAGGCCTATGGCCTCTCATCTTAAATCAGGCTCTGCTTTCATGTCTCGAATCCTAACCAAAACGAATTTTTTGAAACAAAATGCATTTTTTGCGTAAAATTATGTGTAATATATATTTATATCTTCTTAACATTACTTTCTATTTCACATCTGATTGTATCAGAAGTTTTTCTCTTTTTCCGAGCCATTTTTCTATTTTTTTTGACCTCAGACAAGTGAAATTTTAACTATAACTACACTTCAATTACAACAAAATATTAAAAATAATTTTTTACCATAATCTCAACATTGACGTTTATTGAACCGACGGCATCTTCGAATGATTTTACATTGTTGTTCAATGACATAGTGCTAAACTCCGTCATTCCGTAACCTATATATGATTTGTAAAATGAGTCCAGTGCCATTAACAGACTAGATATACACACCTTGTGGGTTTATTAGTAGAATGGATAATTACGTGCCTAAATCTCTGGTTATATATACTAGTTTTTTTCGACAAACCTGGAACTATTTTAATGCTGAACCGTTCAGAAACAGCTTTCATTATCGAAGTTGGGATTGCCGCTCCACCGGTCAAAGATGTTTTCCATGATGACGTATCATACTTGTTGTGCAAATCTGTTTGAGACATTTCCAGCATGATTGGCGGTACCATCATGAGATGATTCACCTAGATTGATATGGTTTTATAAAAAGTGCAACTTTAGCCCTATTAATTACTTTTCAATGTTACTTTACTTGGTTAAGAGAATCATCAGTAGCGGTAGAGCAACATCTACTCAAAGAGTTGAAGTTATGACCACAACTCTATCAAAGAAATTATTGATGCTTTGGAATAAACTTTTTTCATACCTGGTAATTTTGTATCGCAACTAGCGTCTTTTCGACATCAAATTCTTGATCCATAATAACTGTTAACCCACCCTGCAAAGCTAGCATAACAAACATATACCCGCCGACATGAAACATTGGGCTTTCATTGTAGAACGTTTCTCTCCGCTTGTAGCCTAAATGATACCTTTAAAATGCCAAATAATCGATTAAATTCCTACCCCAGAAAAGAATATCTTTATAATAACTCAATCTACAATGATGCGCTGTTCGTTTCGCATAAACTATCTGTTAGGGCACTAACATGCTTCACGTGAATTTATGTACTTGAGCTTTTGTTCAAGCATGTAACTTTAATTTCATCAATATTTTAGACAGAATATATTTATTATCTCTTACCAGATAGATAATAACGTTGCAATAATACTGTAATGGGTGTGCATTACACATTTCGGCATTCCAGTAGTTCCACTTGAATATGGTAAGATGACCAAATCCTCTTTTGCTGATACTTTAAAATTACGGATCGATGCTTCTAAATATTACACATTCCGTTAATTAATTACATAAAATGAATTTTATATAGGAAAATCGCATCTCTTACCTTGCTCTTTTTCATTTGTGACAATAACGTCATCCCACGTTTCAAATTCATCACTTTTTCCAATGACAATGATTTTCTGAAACACAAATGTTTAGGTTCATTTGAAGCGCAAACTGGAAACTAGAGGAAAGAAAACTATAACAAAACTTTGATGCATTTGAAATGAGTTTGAATGAACTAATTGAGTTCTGAACAATTGTTTTTGTATATTATATATATCCTCTTCCTGGAGTCTTATAAGTAGTATTATCAAACACGCGGAGTTTGGTGATTTTTACGAATATTTTATACTACTAATGGACTTTAGTTATAGAATTAACGGGCTTTTCTAACTCGAATGCTTCTGGATTGTTCGACAACTCTCTTCACGACATCGATCGTTCTGTCAGATACAATAAGAATCTTTGGTTCCGTGATTTTGAAGATATGAAGCATTTCTCCTGCAAATCAGAGGCAGATGCTTTATTTGAGATTTGGTTTGGAGATTCAAATGTGTAGAGGTGCTTATTTTATGACATGTGTATTCGCTCATACGAAATTATGTTGTAAACGCACTCCATTATCACAATATCTGGTGAGATAGATGTATACATCCAAATACATTGTATTATACATGACACAAAATTTCCAGAATATACCTGATATTCAGCTAATCTTTTCGCATTTAATTTATCATTTACCTTCTTTATACGAAGGATTACATGGTGATATAACTGCTCCACAAGATATCACTCCCATCATCGCTATTATGTATTCCAAGCAATTAGGAACTATTAGACTCACGACATCTTCTTTATCCACCCCTTGCATTTGGAAAAATCTGCCACACGATTGTATTTGCTTGTACAGCTGTCTGAAAGTGAGTTGTTTACCTTCGATGGTGTTGTCAATCTGTTTGAGGAATTGATAAACAAAATGACTCGAATCGTATAAATCCGGTTACGGGTCACATTCGTTCTTACAAAATGAAAATACACGTCGGTAAAGCCTGTATTTAGTGCTCAGACAAATTGCTTTGCAGAGATAGTTAATCGGAATGTTTTCTCATTCAGAAGTAACAGATTTAGCAATGTTAGTCAGTTTTATGTGCTTTGTATATTGAAGCAGTTTTTTTCGCGTCTCTGAATGTGGAACGTGGTTAAAAGGCTCATCGATTTTTTGCAACCTTGCAATAAAATTGCACGATAACGCAATGATGAGGAATTTGGTCCATGTTCTTAACAATTGCTTGACACAAATTAAAATAAATAGGAATGGATTATCAAGTGTTTTGGTGGTCAACGCGAGGCATCGCTTGTGGCACATTTACCGTTTCATTGAATGCAACAATGCAAACAGCGACGACATACTTGCACATTAGAGCATGATTTGACCCATAAGCAACTTAACCACGCTGGCATCTGTAGATAAATCTTTACCTTGAAGTAAATGTATATATAACAAAGCAATTTTGCATCACTATATCTAATTGGACCGCATGAAAAATTGGCATCAAAACCGTCAAAGAAAAAAGGTTGGTAAACGGTCGCAAACTTCAATGTCAATATTACCTATTTTATGTTGAGATAGCCGCCTCTAACCATCGTACAACATGTTTTGCAAAAGTTGAAAATTCTGCAAGTTCACGCACACAGCCCAATGAAATTGTAAAATTTTAACTTCTCGTTGGAATGCTGTATACTTTGGTATACGTTAAAACTATTTAGTCTGAAAATTAAATTTACCAATTTATCAAACATTTATGAATGAAAACCGATGCTTACCATTGCAATTTCGTCACCGTATTCTTTTATGCGGGACAAGAAGAAATCGCTCAAAGATACTTGTGGAATATCTAAAATTCCATAAGGTGATTTCACAGGCATTTTGAATTCTTCCTGCTTCAGATCCGTATGTAGCGCAGACTACAATTTAACGAAATCTTACATATATATACACTCTACAGTTTCGAGGAAAAAGATCATGTTATTCTTATTTCTATATTGATTTGCGTAAACCTTTTGCCAACCAATTCTGCCAAGCTCAAAATTTTTCTCTCATCAACCATTAGACCGCAAGGCTTAGCTCACGATTGTTCAGAAACGTATTTATCCGAAAAATATTCAATATTTCACATAATATGCTATACGCAACGGCCAAAAATTGTAAAAAAAATGTTTTGCAGGCAAGTACTTTTATGTCTAGTACAGTGACAAACGAAGTGTCCTGTACAATATAGCCTTCTTTTTGATACAATTCAGCTAGAATATGAGATTGCGACCATAGGTGTGGCCAAATAACACAATATCGCCTACTTTTCGGCATATTTTCCAAATTTAGCTAACTGCATATTCTTCCTTCGGATTAATGAGGTATAGATATTTCATTGTGATAATATTATGCATAGGCCTATATCTATTGAAAGTCAAAACAGCATTATGTGGGTTCAGAAACCGAACCATTGGATGTCGAGGAACGGTGATTCTAAACATTTTAAGTTACGAACATACGCCTTTCACAAAATTATTCTGCCGGCGGACCCCTAATATTTTTTAACGAACTCCTAATTTTTACTGATCAACACTGCTAATTATGCACAATTATACTAACATTGAATAATACTGCTGTAATCGAATCAATTTATAAAACAACCGAAAAATATAATTATACTTTAAAAAAATGTGTTAATTAGCAACTTCGAATCTGCGTTTTCGAAGAGACAACTGAGTACCAATGCGCCTACTTCCTGAAACCGCGTCACATGTACGCGTCATATGCATTCCAGCGCCCCGTTTTGTGACATTGTTTCAAATCTTAATCCATCACCCCAAAATAGGACCAAACTTCAGGCTAAATGCTTACTTATCTGCTATTGAAACTCAACGGTAGTGACTGGCAGCGAGTTGTAGCCTGGTCTATCCCAGCTTCGACGGGCGTTATTTTAGTTGCCGTAATTGAACTAAAACTCTTTCCATAACTGAATAACGAACACGGACAAGACCATACTTTGTTTGTATCAAGTCTGATTCACTGTCAATATATATATCCATAACTGAATAACGAACACGGACAAGACCACATCTTGTTTGTATCAAGTCTGATTCACTGTCAGGATATATATATGAGAATTACATTTACATTTTGCTGGAAGTGATATTTATTGCATTGGTTCGTATCAGAGAATCAGAAAAAGAGAATTTTGCTATTGACCAATGCATAGCACCATATGGGTGAATGCAATATTTGCTTTTAATGCTATTGTAGATTTGTTTTAACACTACCGGACGAAAAGGTACATTTAATCATATTTTCATTATAATATTTCGGCTACAATTTGTATTCCTTCGCAATTTGTAGTCAATTCATTGTAGCCATTTTTTTTTAACTCTGTGCGATCAATTTTCCCCATCTTTGATTTTGGTATTTTGTCAACAAATTGGATGCCCCCTCTTAACTGTTTGTAGTCGACAAGTTCTCCTGTAGAAATGGAAATTATTTTTATTGCTATTTGAAGTAGTGGAAACGAAACTGATTTTTGTATTCCCATACTTTTGATAAGCTCAAGAAGTTCATCAGAGTTGACGGATTGAAGTTTTCGTACAACCAAAGCTTTAGGTAATTCTCCACAAAGCTGATAAGGAATTCCAACCACTCCAGCATCCCTAACACCAGGATGCCTTAAAAGAATATTTTCTATTTCGGCTGGTGGCACCTAAACAATAGAGTGAATAGGTAATTATTTAGTATTCTCGGAGATATATTTGGTTTTGGACATTTATCATCATAGACTCTCGTTTAGACTATAGGTCAAAGGAGTAAATATAAGAGTTTTCTGCCGATCGGGTTTATCTACCGAGTTTTATTCTCGAAGTTAACCAAATTTTGGGGCTCCCGAAGTATGCGAACCAAGATGACGGACATCGGAATGTAATATGTGTACTAGGTTATGGTTAGGCCATAATTTTAGGTATATATAAATACTACGGGAGGCTCTTGGCTAGTCTTCGAACTGATAATAGGACTAAAATGAGGAAAATTGGAAAGAAATTATCGCCTAACCCTAACCTGTTACCCAAGTTACGTTCCGATGTCCGCCATCTTGGTTCGCATACTTCGGGAGCACCCAAATTTTTTTGTTTTTGGACACGTAGTCTACATATGGATCGTTTTGTTATATTGTGAAAAAATCACTTTTCTCATTACCTACTGGACCAATCGCTTTAAATTTTCCAATGATTAAACATTATCTTTTTCGCTAGAAGGTTATTACTTATTTATTTCGAAATTTCTTGGGCCTCTATAGGATTCGTTTTTTGTATGCAATGACGCCATCAAATTTAATAATTACTCCTCCTGTGTCGATTCCGCAGTTACTCTTTCGCGTAAGTTGTTTTTAGTGATCAGCTGTGGTACGTTACGGGTAGACCACAGTGACAGATTACATAACTATTTCGTGTCCATGTATTTGGACATCGCTCTTTTGTCTTGCAAAAGAATCCAAATGGGACAAAAATGATTGGCGTTTTACCTGGAAGGTTATATACTTTATAACTTCTCTTAGACGTCCAACTACGTACACCATATCATTTTTGAAATGCCCAATATCACCGGTGTGGAGAAACCCATCTTTATTTATTGTTTGTTCTGTAGCTTCTCTTTCTGTAATATCCTTTCATTATCTATAATTAAAGTAAATCTGTATCTTTTTTTAATCTCAAGAGCATTCTTAACGACTTGATTGCTCATTTTTGTGACTTCTGAATTGCTAAGAACTACAGTATAGTCCACGATATGATTCTTTCGATAGGAATTATCATCTTCATGTCAAGACATAATTGCACCTATTTTAAACGAATTAAAAATTATATTACGATACTTAACAGAAAGATCGCAGCTATTTATTGTATTAGTGTATTTTTGTATTTCAGTAATTGCCCATGTTTATGCAGTCAAGTCCACTATATTTTTAAATCAGTCCGCGTGACGTTGTCTTGAGCAAAATCTCATAGAATTTTTAAAATGTACCTGTGGGCCTTTGACTAAGATTTCACCATCTTCTCCGGATTTCAATTCTTTTCCTGTGATTGGATCAGCTATCTGTAAACAATCGTCACGAAAAAATATGTTAAATGTGCTGTGCTGGGTTTCAGGTCTCGTTTCCCCTCTACAAAGAATTTTCCGAAACAGTGCATTTTTATAAATTATGCGAATTATGTCCAAAGTAATTTCTCCTTTCGGGTGATTTCCATAATTATTTCAATCCTAAATGAGTCAAGATTTAGCTGTGAATTGAGAATTATCACTGCATTTCAATTGCAACAAAACATTCCAATTTAAGATCTTACCATCATCTCAACATTGACGGTGATTGCACCGACCGAATCCGCAAACGATCGTACATTGTCGTTCACTGACACAGGTGTAAATTCCGTCATTCCGTAACCTAAATCGTTGAAAAACGAAAATTACAAATGAGTTTTATTAAATTTTTTACAACATTTTTACACGCACCTGGAACCATTTTAATGTCATACCGCTCGGAAACAGCGTTCATTATCAAAGTTGAGATTGACGCACCACCGGTCATCGAGGTTTTCCATGATGACGTATCATATTTCTTGTGTAAATCTGTTTGAGACATTTCCAACATGATTGGTGGCACCATAATCAAATGATTCACCTGGATAGATATTGCTTTATAAAAGGCTCATATTCAAACATGGCTGAACAACATGAATAGTTTTTGAACCAAAAAGTAATTTTTCCAAATTGGGAATAACACACTATAGATAGCGAGTTTCAAAACGTTTGCTCTCTCTCTTGGGGTCGAGGTTCCAGTCGTTCCTATACTGTTAAATTAAGAGCTTCATTAATTATATTCCAATGTAACTTCACTTGAGAAGAATCGTCAATAGCGGTAAAGTGGTATAATATATATATACTATAATATATATTTTATACTACAGTATTAAAACTGGCGATCCCTTTGGAACTGTCTTTTGTCATACCTGGTGATTTTGTATCGCAAGTAGCGTCCTTTCAACATCAAATCCACGATCCATAATAACTGTACACCCTCCTTGCAAAGCTACCAGATCAAAAAGATACCCGCCTACATGAAACCTTGGTCTTTCATTGTAGAGCGTTTGACTTCGCTTGAAGCCGGAATGATACCTTGAAAATTTGACATAATTGATTAGAACCATAGGAAGCTAGAACTCTAATGGCTAATGAATGAGTTCTGTTTGCACATAATATAAAAAACTAAAAGAGCCTAATTACCAAAAACGATCATGAAGAAGGCTTCATTAGATCTTTGTTAATTTTGAATGCGTTCTTTCTAAGATTTAGATGGGTGGTTTTAGTTTCACGTGAATTTACCAGTGTCTGTATTAGTAATTAGTTATCAACATTTTAGACAGAACTACATTTTATTTCTCTTACCAGAGAGATAATAACGTTGCAATCAAGCTGTAATGGGTGTGCATTACACATTTCGGCAATCCAGTAGTTCCACTTGAATGAGGCAAAACGGCTAAATCCTCTTTCGGTGATATTTCGAAATTACGGACCACTGCTTCTAAATGATTACAAATTCTCTTAATGATATACATAAAATCATTTCATGATGAATATTTCATTCATTACCTCGCTCTGTCTCATTTGCTACAATACCTTCATCCCACGTTTCAAATTCATCACTTTTCCCAATGACAATTATTTTCTGAAACGCAAATGTTTAGGTTTGCTTCAGCACCAGCGCCAGGCGGAAATCAGAAATATATTTGACTACAATCCGCTTGGTGGTTTCTCATTATGATTAATATTTAATACTACTATTAGTATCAGAATTCTTATCTGACCCGTACGCTTTTTGGTTGTTCAACAACCCTCTTCACGACATCGATAGTTCTATCCGACACGATAAGCATCTTTGGTTCCGAGATCTTGAAGATATGTTGCATCTCTCCTATAAATCAAACACAAACGCTTTATTACTTATCGATTTTAATTGGTAAGTATGTTGATAGGTATTTGTCTGTCTGTCTGTCTGTTAGATGCACGCGATATCTCACGAAAACGAGATTAAATCTGCTCCAGATTTCGCATGTGCATTCAGCATATCTCGGACCAGAAGCCTATTGATTTTGGGCGAATTATGTCGTATAATTAGCGAGTTATCAATTAATTAGTGATGGGACACAAGGTGTCACTATGGAGTAAGAGCGCTGTTTTGGGATCCCCTAACTTTTGATCGATAAGTCTTCGGTGTCTGACCGATATTCTCGTTAAGATATTGATTAGGGACTCAAACGTGTAAAAGTGATTTCTCATATCTTTTGTAAACGGAAAATCAGCTAAACATTTGTATTCTTTCCATAATTTACCTTCTTTATATGAAGGATTACATGGCGATATGACTGCTCCACAAGATATCACTCCCATCATTGCTATAATGTATTCAAAGCAATTGGGAACAATTAGACCCACGACATCTCCTTTATTTATCCCTTGCTTCTGAATGAACCTGCCACACGATTGTATTTGATTATACAGTTGTCTGAAAGTGAGTTGTTTACCTTCGATGGTGTTGTCAATCTGTTTGGGGAATTAAGTGATTCGAATTAAAAAAAATCCGGTTATAGGTCATTTTCTATATCTTGTAAAACACGTGTTCCGCTGCGTCGGCAAAGTAACGAGATGGTAACGAGAAGAATGGCAATGAATAATTTCAAACTTTGGTTTTATATCTTGGTGAATTGACTTTAAAATTATATACGAATAACTGCTAATGTGTAAGATTCAAGTATAGCTTATCATTTGAACATAAAAAAAATATTATTATAGAAAAATATTACCAAATAGAAAATTAAGTCGATAAATGATTTCCACTCTATGTCGAATGGCATCCTGACTGACCTATGACGTATTTTCCTTGACCTCATTCCTGATGCATTTGAAATCAGCACCAATCATAAATCATTGTTTAATATAAATTACTTTTTTCGTGTCATTTTCAGAACTTTTAATTGCGACAGACGTGGCTCAAACATTTCACAAGCTCAAACTTCTTAGCAATAGTGCATATTGCGCAACAAAATTCATTCGCGATAATAGATACTAAATTGCACAACTTTGCACAATGTTTGCTCATGTTTCGTTCAATATTTGCTCATTCGAGGACAGTAGAATATATGTTGCCTAACAGTGTGTGCTTTTGAGAAGATTTGACCATGTATCTCCAAATTATAGCAAACAATGAAATATATTGATGGAGCATTCCAAAATCATCGTTCAAATCATCTGCCAAATAATCTTTTAAGATGAAGATGATATTTAGTATATATACTCAATATAAGGTCATTTCATACGTAATGGAAACTATCCCATGAGAATGTACGACAATTTTCCCAACATTGCTTGACATGAATTAAATAAATAGGGCTATCGAGTGTTTTGGGCTACAGAAGGAAGGCACTGTTGCAGTGTAAATAACTCAAACCTATTGAATTTTAACCCTAAACAACAAAGCCCGCATTGGTAAATTTTTGAGATAGATTATATATATATATTGATTTAAGAATCTAAAAATGTACGATTTTGCATCAATATGTTTTAGTAAGCTTCATAAAAACAATGACATCGAAAGTTGGCAGTGAGCTAAAACGGTCGAAATACACTAGCTTAATGAAAGGTGCAATGTTACCTATTGTATTCAGAGAAATCAGCCTTGAATCATTGTACAAGAAGTTCTGCAAATGTTGAAAATTTATCGACATAGCTCAACGAATTAGTAAAACTTCAAATATACATTCAAATGTTTTATTTCCTAGTTGGTTCAAAACGTACGTAGAACTATTTAGTCTAATATTTAAAATGACGAGGGTTTTTAGAAACATTCATTAATAAAAACCAATACTTACCATTGCAATTTCCTCACCGTATTCTTTTATACGAGACAAGAAGAAATCGCTCACAGGTACTTCAGGTATATCTAAAATTCCATGAGGTGATTTTACCGGCATTTTGTTTGAAGTTCAGTCGGCAATTAGCGTAAAATAAGATCTAATTACAAAAAACAATAAATACAGAATGCTCATCAATAACTTGAAAAGTTTTACCCACAGTAAATCAGCGTCCAAACATATTCTGCAGTTGAATACTCATTCGCCAAAGTAGCTATACATTCACTTCGGACACGAAAGTACTTCAATATGATTTTCTTTATCTTTTTGGACACGTAGTGGACATAACGATCGTTTCAATATTATGTTGTTGTTGTTCTTGTTCTTGTTGTTGTTCTTGTTCTTGTTCTTTGACACGTTTTTAAAAAGTCGCTTTTCTCTTCGAATACTGGACCAATTGCTTTGAAATTTTCAGTGGTTGAAGAATAATTTTTTCGCTAGAAGGCTATTACTTTTGTTTATTCTTAAATTTTATATGAATCCTATGAGATATGATATTTCATACAAAATTTCGCGGTATTTATTTTTACTCATGGGAACACTGTTTTACACTTATTTCAAGCGGTTTCGCGATCGATTGTCTTGCTCAGTACTACAGCTACTGTAGGTCGGTACTGGTAAGTTGCCATACCGGTGCCGTAACGCAGTGAAATTGACTTATTCCTTCCGCGGTATTAATAATGCTGCAATGCAAGTTTTATAGCCTATCGTATGCGGAACGGAATATCAGACCTACAGGTTCGGTACCGGTACTGGTAGCTCAGTACGTAAGTACGATACTGGTACTGGTGCCGGTACCGGTGTCTTACCACAATGAAATTACCGTAACTTATTCTTTCACGGTCCTACCAGTGCAGTAATGCAAGCGTTGTAGCACTTGTAGCCTACTATATTTGTTTATTTGATGAGAGTCTACTGGAAACAACATAAAATTTGAAAGGGAAGAATTGTTCTGTGATCAATTATCTGTCCTAAAGTGTAAATAACATAAAATTTGCAAGGGAACAACTGTTCTGTGATCAATTACCGTATATGGCCTACAGTGTACAGGTAAGATGCTGGCTGACTGCTAACCGGTACTGGTAGCTCAGTACGTAGGTACGATACTGGTACTGGTGCCGGTACCGGTGTCTTACCACAATGAAATTACCGTAACTTATTCTTTCACGGTCCTACCAGTGCAGTAATGCAAGCGTTGTAGCACTTGTAGCCTACTATATTTGTTTATTTTGATGAGAGTCTACTGGAAACAACATAAAATTTGAAAGGGAAGAATTGTTCTGTGATCAATTATCTGTCCTAAAGTGTAAACAACATAAAATTTGCAAGGGAACAACTGTTCTGTGATCAATTACCGTATATGGCCTACAGTGTACAGGTAAGATGCTGCCTGACTGCTAACTCAGTACCGCTTGACACGTTTTTAAAAAGTCGCTTTTCTCTTCGAATACTGGACCAATTGCTTTGAAATTTTTAGTGGTTAAAGATAAAAATTTTCTCCAGAAGGCTATTACTTTTTTTTCGCTATGACGTCATCAAAATTATGTGACTCTACGTGTCCATATATTTGAGCATAGCTCTCTTGTCTACTTTGTAATGCACGTCGCGGTTGAAACAGCTGAGTGAGCAAGCAAAAGATGGTCCACGATTCCAAGTTTATTTATTGGGCACGAAATGTACAGATGGATTGTTTTGTTACTGTTTTTTTTCATTTTCTTTTCATTCTTCGGTACTGAAGATTGAATTTTTTGGTAGAGGGCTATTACTTTTATTTATTTCTGTGAGCTGTATGGGATTCGTTTTATTGTGTGCTATGACGTCATTGAAATTTGCCACCTTGTGGCGATTCCGCGAACACATATCAGCGGATTTTGTGTTCAGCTCTCAGCTGTCGTCGGTGTATCCCGTGCTTGTAGAAAAGTGAGAATGGGAAATTTTTTATGAGAAATAGTAGAGTGCAGTACCTGATCTGGTAATATAGAAGTGACTCGGATCAGTTGGTATTTCAATTCACGTTGGAACCAATCACCGTCACAGGCTCTGAAAACTATGACAGTCCCTGTGCCGTTACCCGTACCCCGATGCGAGCATGCAGGTAATGTTATTTTACCGCATATGATTTCAAGAAGTTTTTTTATGGGGAATGGTAGAATGCGGTACCGTATTTGGCAATACCTGTAGCTTGATTCAGTTGGTTTTTCAATTCGCGTTGAAACTGAATCATGAAGAATGAATCATCGTCAAAGGACCTGGAAAAGCTATGACAGTCCCTGTGCCGTTACCCGCACCCCGATTCAGGTAATGGTAAGTTGCCGCATATGATTTTAAGAAGTTTTCGATGGGAAAGTGTAGAATGCGGTAGGCTTCCTGATCCGGTAATATAGAAGTGATTCGGATTACTTGGTATTTCAATTCACGTTGAAACTCAATTATAAAGAATGGATTATTGTCATCAAAGTACCCTCCTCTCACAGTTTCTCGAGAAACTAACATTCGCCAATATTTCTAAACACGCCGAGGCGCTCGTAAAATAACGATGCCAGGATTTTGCTCATTAGCAGTTTGACCTGTATTTAGCAGGGATTCAAGTTGAAATAGTCTTGCTTTGGTGTTTGCCTACTTCACGGAAAACTATAGAGACGACACAACCTAGCGAACTGCAACGGTGAACAATATTCATAAAAGTTAACCCTTTATGCCTATTTTAATGGGACCAGTAACTAACTCGCCGGAAGACACCTATCAGTGTACACGCGGACTCGTACCCATAATATATCTCAGTATTGATTAATATATTAATGTAATTCAGCGGTACCGGTACCGGGCGTCTGGCAGAATCCATAGCGACATTTCAAGTGGAATGCAGGATTGGCTTTTATTGCTATTATTTGATTATTTTAATACTCTCAGACGGGAAAGGTGCATTGAAATTATATTTTGACTACAATTGCATTTCTTCGTGATTGGTAACCAATTTCTTCAACTAACGAGTAGCCAATTTTTTCAATTCCATGCGATCAATTTTGCCCAGCTTTGATTTCGGTATTTTGTCAACAAATTGAATGCCACCTCTTAACTGTTTGTAGTCGACAAGTTCTCCTGTAATTAGAAAAATGATTTTATATTTGCTTGAAATAAGGTAAACTGAACTCATTTTTATATTTTCGTACTTTTAATAAGCTCAAGAAGTTCATCAGAGTTGACGGATGAAAGTTTTCGTACAACCAAAGCTTTTGGTAATTCTCCACAAAGTTGATCAGGAATTCCAACCACTCCAGCATCACTAACGCCAGGATGTCTCAAAAGAATATTTTCAATTTCAGCAGGTGTCACCTGAACATGATACGGTAAAATAATAAACATAATTAAGTAGCATTCGCGTAGGGTAGACATAACATATATGTAATTTTTGCTTAGATTCGAGTATGTCTTGACTCGTAGCTGATGCGTTTTTGGAAATATATTTGCTTTAACTCATTTATCATCACAGTTTCTCTTTCTTAATCTGACCAAAATATTTGGTGCTCTACCTGAAACGTTTTATACTTTATAACTTCCTTGAGACGACCAACTACGTAGACCATATTGTTTTGAATATGCCCTATATCACCGGTGTGAAGAAATCCGTTTTTATTTATTGTTTGTTCTGTAGCTTCTCTATTTCTGTAATATCCCTTAGTCATCTAGAAAAAAAAACGAAATCAGCATCTCTATCGAAGCTTGACAGAAAAATCATAACTATTTACGTTCTCAGTAGCAGCCCGTGTCTTTGATTTCAGTCAAATTCATTTTGCTTTCAAGTAATTGCGCGTTGCGTTTCGAGCAAAATCAATAGTTTTAGAACGTAGCCTACCTGGGGGCCTTTGACTAAAATTTCACCATCTTCGCCAGATTTCAATTCCATTCCGGTGTTTGAATCAACTATCTGTAAATTGAAATGAAAAATTAAGTGTTGTTGTTGATGTTTGTTTTGATGTGCTGCACCGACTTTCAAGTCTCTTCACCACAGCGAATTTTCAAATACTAGAGTGCGTAGTTGTATAAAATTATGAGTTACCTCATATCGACTTACGTGTTTTGAATGTTACTTTCTATTTCATATCTGATTGGGTCCGAACAGTTTTTCTTTTCAGGTCATTTTCATAATTATTTCAATCTCAGATGAGTTCATGATTTAGCAATGACTTGAGCCCATCTCTACATATATATACAATTCAAGATCTTACCATCATCTCAACGTTGCTGCAGATTGAACCGTCGGAATCCGCAAACGATTGGACATTGTCGTTTATTGACATGGGGGTAAATTCTGTCATTCCGTAACCTAAACATGGTCCGTTAAATAAGTAACTCAATTTGTACTGTACATGTTTTTTTGTAACAAGGTTGTTGTAATGTGTCAGTAAGAGACAAGATATATTTATTTCATACAACGCATTTATACCTTTTTGCCCCGAACATAGCTCTCCGCAACCTTCCACTGTTAGGTAAGATGCTACTATGGATTGACTACCCAATTTATTACACTCTGGTTAACGTTATATGCACAAATGTGTCGCGTTCAGTCAAATGGATGATTTCGCACTTGACACTCAGACTCAGTCTAAAACCGTTTTTGACAACATACCTGGAAACATATTAATGTTGAATCGTTCGGAAACGGCTTTCATTATCGAAGTTGGAATTGACGCACCACCGGTCAACGAAGTTTTCCATGATGATGTATCATACTTCTTGTTTAAATCTGTTTGAGACATTTCCAACATGATTGGGGGCACCATAATGAAATGATTCACCTAAATGAATATTTGAAATGTAAGGCTGCAATGCACATGTGCTTCAACGACTTGAATAGTTTCTATTCCAAAGCTGAATTGTTAAAATTGGGATTCACAAAACTCAAATAGTCGAGAGTCGGTAGTCCCGACCCGAAGTATGTGAACCAAGATGGCGGACACCGGAACGTAGTATGTGTAATTGGTTAGGGTTAAGCCATAATTTTATTCCAAGTTTATTTATTTTAGTTCTATTGCGAGTTCGGCGACTAGCCAAGTGATTCCCGTAGTATTAATATTCGGGAGTACCCGAGAGTCTATTCGTTACTAGACAGACAAATTAAAAGCACTATTATTTTATTCCAATTTTCCTTATTTTAGTTCTATTACGAGTTCGGGGACTAGCCAAGTGACTCCTGGTATTTATATTCGGGAGTACCCGAGAGTCCATTCGTTACTAGACAGACAAATTAAAAGCACTATTATCAATCTTATTCAAATGTTACTTTACTTAGTTAGGAGAGTCGCCAGTGGGGGCGGACATTCCGATTCGCCACCATCTTGTTTTTGTTTGTACGCCAAATGTCGAGATGAAACCTTCATTTCTTTTATTGAAGCCATATTTTGAAAATATAATTCTGACATAAGGCTCTTTTCTTCCTAGTGAGTTATCGATCAAATTTGCTTGAATTGTACTTTGCAATATTGTGTGTGAACACTCAGCGAACTGTCTGAGTGATAGATTCCATATTTTCATTAATTTATGTGTCTGATCTGGAGGACCCAATGCAATAAAAACTCACGTAACATTATATATTTTCCAAATATTAAAGATTCGATTCAAAAAAAAATAATACTTTGATTCGATTATGAAATCATCAGCGATCTTTTTGCAACTGATTTTTGTCATACCTGGTAATTTTGTATCGCAGCCAAGGTCCTCTCAACATCAAATTCACGATCCATAACAACTCTTAACCCTCCCTGCAGAGACATCAAAACAAACAAATACCCGCCGGCATGAAACATTGGTCTTTCATTGTAAAACGTTTCTCCTTTTTTGTAATCATTATTATACCTTGAAAAAAAACATAAACATTAGGACTCTAGAAAGTTAGAATCATATCCCAGTCAACCTTTAAGATAACGTTTAAAAAAAGATTCAAAAAAATTCAAGAACGATTGTACAGAATGTTTTATTTCCCCAAAACAATTCTCAGATCTCTGAGAGTTTTGAATAAGTTTCTCCTAAGATTTCGTTATTGACTCAACGTATTCTTGTTTCGCGTGAATTCACCAATTTCTGTACTTGATCAACGATTGCGCTTTCATTGAAACTTTTAGGTCATCACTATTTTAAACAGAATATAATTCATTTATCTCACCAGCAAGTTAATAACGTTGCAATCATACTGTAATGTGTATGCATTACACATTTCGGCATTCCAGTAGTTCCGCTTGAATATGGTAAGATGGCCAAATCGTCTTTTGCTGATATTTCAAAATTAAGGACCAATGCTTCTAAAAGAATACACAATCTGTTAATGCATTATATAAAACCTTTTTTACGTTTGATATTGCATCTCTTACCTTGCTCTTTTTCATTTGCGGCAATACCCTCATCCCACGTTTCAAATTCATCACTTTTCCCGATGACAATGATTTTCTAAAATACAAATATGAAGATTTGTTTCGTTTTCAATGAGTTACTTTCATTTTTCATTGATTATAATTCATTTTGTTGGAAATATACACAAACCAAAAATGCGGTCATTATAACACTCAGAGACAATACACAACGTGTTTGTTTGTTAGATAGGAAGGAGTGTATGGACATCAATGAGGTAGGTATCTGGCAAATGGCTGAATATAATGAAAATAAAGAACGAACTGAACACTCGTTTTGGTCTTTGTTTTATATGTTTTCCGTACAGTGTTCAAGTAATATATTCAAACTCACGGAGCTTGGTGGTTTCATATATAATACTACCATTAGTTCTAGAATTTATAGGCTTATCTGACTCGAATGCTTTTGGATTTTTCAACAACTCTTTTCACGACATCGATAGTTTTGTCAGATACAATAAGTATCTTCGGTTCCGTGATTTTGAAGATGTGTTGCATTTCTCCTACAAATCAGAGAGACAAGCTTTATTGAGATAATATTTATGGACTCAAACATGTAAAAGTGATTTCTCATATGTATTGTAAACGGGAAATCAGCTCAACATTTTGGTTTCCATTAATTATTCACCTTCTTTATACGAAGGATTACATGGTGATATGACTGCTCCACAAGATATCACTCCCATCATTGCTATTACGTATTCCAAGCAATTGGGAACTATTAGACCAACGACATCTCCCTTATGTATCCCTTGCTTCTGAATGAATCTGCCACACGATTGTATTTGCTTATACAGCTGTCTGAAAGTAAGTTGTTTGCCTTCGACGGTGTTGTCAATCTGTTTGAGAAATTAAACAAAGTGACTCGAATCTTATAAATCCGGTTACAGGTCTTTTTTCATCCTAATAAAACACATGTTTCGCTACGGCGGAAAATAACAAAATGGTATCTAGAAAATATGGACAGGAGAATTGACGTTTAAAGTGTTTCGATTGGGAATCACTGCTAGATCAGTCATTTAGCACGCAAGTGTTCGACATTTTTTTTTTTGGTAGTAGTGAGCTCATTATAATATGACCAACCCGTTAAAACTCATCATTGCACAGTTTCAAAACAAATCTTAATGAAATATTGTAAGGTACTGTATACATATGCATCTTTTATTTGTATTTCTCCTCGCCAGAGATCAATCTTACCATGTGATTCGGAATGTGAGTATAGTACATTATATAGGAATATTTGAATAAGTGTGATGTGGAGTATGGAGTATCTGCAATTAAGCAATCGCTGGCAAGCCATGTTTATTTGCATGTAAACGGCTTGTTGATAAACATTTGATACATGATTTTTAAATTATTGAAAAAAAGGATTCATTCACCGATTTTCCTGTACTTCCGATCCCAAAATCCGGTTAATCAACTAGAAAATAGATCAGATTACACACCAAAGTAAAGCGGTCCGACAAATTAAATTACAAAAATACTGGCAACAAAGGGGCCAAGGCGATGGTGAAGTGTCTATATCAGAATCAATGGCGGACCACCACATAGTCAAACCAAGAAAACCTAATTTTTGATCTTTCACACAATAAGAATTTAGCGAATATTCAACTCTTTACGCTAAATTATATTGCGTTTCATCAGGTTCGAAAACTAATGTAAAGAGTACTTTCGTTCACATTAATACTGAATAAAATGTGTTAAATAATTCGGTGACAAAGCTTCTTTAGTGCTTAGTTTAAATTGTAACCTTTGAGCGTTCAAGGGTAACAGAACATGCAATGTTACACAGCCAAGCAACAACAGTTTGCCTTTAATAATTTTTGAACGCAGTTAAGAATGGTCATCGATCTTTTGTAGTCGTGCAACTTGATGATGACAATGCATGGTCATGTTTTCAACAATTGCTTGACAGTAATTGAAATGAATAGGCGCGGATTATCATTCATCTTTTTCTGCGCGTGCAACAGTGCAAACACCGAAAAACTTCTTGCGCAGTAGAGCGAATTTGACCCATCAACAAGTAGACTTAGCCCGCATCGGTAGATTAAAGTTTTATTAAAATATAAAGTATCCACGTGTTTAAAGCAGTTTGGTCAGGACCTCATTTCACAAAGCATTTGACATCAACATGTTTTAGCGAGTCACTTGAATAATAAGCCTTCGAAAGGCCGTAAACTTAAAATCTAGCTGCTTTTGGTGCAATATTGCCTATTTTATGTAGAGAAATCCGTCCTGAACCATAGAAGAAGTTGTTTTGCAAAATTTTAAACATCTGCTAGTTAACGCTCGTAGTTCCATGGGAGCACATGGAAACGTTGTACTTTCAAAGTTCAATATTCCACCAAAAGCAGCTAGATTTTAAGTTTACGGTCTTTTGAAGCCTTATCATTCAAGTGACTCGCTAAAACATGTAAAACTTACTAGCTCAATATTTTAAATTGAGGTTTAAACAAATATTCATTAAAAAGTACGATACTTACCATTGCAGTTTCATCACCGTATTCTTTTATACGGGACAAAAAGAAATCACTCAAAGGTACTTCTGGGATATCTAAAATTCCATGAGGTGATTTTACCGGCATTTTGATTCGTATCAATTCCTATAGAGGTAGACTATGTTCTAACGAAATACACTTAACTGCTTTGAGAAAAAAGATTACTGTTTATCATCTTGATCCGCTTAGCGAATATTACACAGCAAGTTTGTCGACAACTTAAAAGTTCCACCCAATAAACGAATGAATAGGCCTACTCATGCTAATACATTTACTTCGGCAACGAGAGTTCGTTTTTAGTTATCTTTATTGTAACGCACGACACACAGCTGATTGAGCAGGTCACCCACGGTGGACTAGCGATTAATAAACGAATAAATAAATTCTCACGATCCCAAGTAGCAATTCATTCACTTAGGCAACGAGAGTTCGTTATCTTTATAACGCACGGCTGAAACGGCTGAGTAAGCAGATAGAGAAAGTCGAACGCGAACTTCTTTTGGAAAAAGCTGATCAGCAATCTGAGAAAGTTTTTCCACATACTCACACATACACATACAGTAGATAGAGATCAAAAGATGTTCAAAATCCAAAATTACAGTGACATATCTCCAGTCCGAGTCTCAGCAAAATCCAGATCCACGTCAAGTTGAATCACTGCTGCTTATATTTACAAGTCGAGTCCGAGTTCATGAACAATAATAAAATGGATGAATGAATTGTCAATATTCTTCTATAATTTATACTAATGCGCCCTAATTGTTGATAATGCGTTGAAAATGTCGTGTCCCACTCGAGTTATCGATGAAATTTGCTTGTTTTTGTGTGTGAACACTCAGCGAACAGTCTGAGTGGCAGATTCCATGTTTTCAGTAATTTATGTGTCTGATATAGAGGACCCATTGCAATGAAAAGTCACATAAAATTACATAGCTGCCAAGTATTAGCGATTCGATTCAAAAAAATATTTGATTCGATTATGAAATCATCAGCGATCTTTTTGCAACTGACTTTTGTCATACCCAGTAATTTTGTATCGCAGCTAAGGTCCTTTCAACGGTTTCTGTACATTTGAACCCACGTACATTTGAACCCACGACAATTGCACCTGCATGCTATTATTGCACGTACGGAATTTTTTTGTTTTGCGGATATTTGAACCTATACTGACCCTAACACATGGGTTTAGCACCCTCATATAGATTGAACCAACGGATATACACATGGGTTCAAATGTACGTGGGTTCAAATGTACGGTCATCCCTTTCAACATCAAATTAACGATCCATAACAACTCTCAACCCTCCCTGCAGAGACATCAAAACAAACACAAAAAAAAATATACGCCGGCATGAAACATTGGTCTTTCATGGTAAAACGTTTCTATTTCTTTGTAATCAACATTAGACCTTGAAAATAACACATAAACATTAGAACTCTAGAAATTTAAAATCATAACCCAGGCAAATGAATTCTCTTCCAGATAACGTTTTAAAAAAGATCCTAATTATCAAAATCGACTCTACAGACGACTTCATCCTCCTAAAACAATTCTCAGATCTCTGTGAATTTCGAATAAGTTCTTCTTAAGATTGCGTTGTTGACTCGTCGTATTCTTGATTCGCGTGAATTAATCAATTTCCGTACTTGATCAAGAATTGCGCTTTTATTGAAGCTTTTAGGACTTAGGTCATCAATATTTTTATAAATATAAAAAATATATTTCATTTCTTTTACCAGCAAGATAATAACGTTGCAATCATACTGTAAAGACTGGTATAGAACATATAATCTATTTAGCGAGCTTGTTTTTTAGTAACAATTTTTGTCAATGTGTCATTTTTGCAATGAAATTGAACTACAGCATCACCATTTTACGTCAACGAGTGTTTCTTATTCCATATTTTTGTAGGAAAACCACTGATGTTATACACATACACGTCTCACATTGTAAAATTAATTTAAAAGGTATTGCCCGATTTTACATCGTGTTTTTGTTTTATTGTGTTCTTTTGACTGTTTTTGGTGGACGGGCACGTACTTGCACGTTTTAACTTTTTTTAAGTTATGCCCGCCCTCCAGGTCCTCTGTATTTTGTTTGTCCATTTGTTGTTGTTTTGTTTCTTTCAGAGTGAACGAAATAAAATTGATTGATTGATTGATTGACTACTACTACCAGGGCAAAATAAAATATAAATTCCCCGATAATCATATGCGGTACGGTAACTTACCATACCTTCAAAAAAATTTGAAGCAAGAATTTGCAGAATCGAAACGGACAGCTAGTCATCACGCGGACTAAAAACCGTGTTTCCAAGAATAAAAATAATACAGCGAAATTTTGAATAAAATATCAGATCTCATAGAATTTATACGAAATTTAGAAATAAATAAAGTAATTGCCTTCTAAAGAAAATTTCATCTTTTTCGTCCTCGACTCGACGACACGGACAAATCTCAGAGATAACTCGACTACACAGAATACCAATGACGGAACTACTGGTACTATTTTTGTGTAGATTGATGTAAGCGTCTGAAAATATACAGAATCGAGTTCATCAAAAAATAATTTTTGTGATAACCCACCTTCAAGTGGCGGCTGACATCCCCAATACCATAGAATATAATAAGCACCTTTATTCACACTTCTTCGACCATATTTTAGCCCTCCGTAAAATGCTGGAGTGAACTTTATTATCACATCACAAAATAGGCCAAACAAATGAGAATAGTTTGTGAAAGAAAGAAAAGCGCGTTCTCCTCATCATCTGTTTCAGTCGTGCGTCGTGCGCAATAATAAAGATAACTAATTACGAACTCTCGTTGCAGAAATGAATGTATTGCTACTTGGCGAATGGGTCGACTGTGAGTGAAACTTTCTACGTTATCGATAGACTTGCGTTCGAAAAGAAAGTGTGTAATAATAAGCTTATAAAGATGATAAATATTAATGTCTTTTCCAAAGCAGTTAATTGTATTAATTGTATACTTCAATCGAAATGCCAGTAAAATCACCTCATGGGGTTTTGGATATCCCAGAAGTACCTTTTAGTGATTTCTTCTTGTCACGCATAAAAGAATACGGCGACGAAATTGCAATGGTAAGTATCGAATTTTAATCATTGGTGTTAGCCAAAACCTCTAATTTCAACTATTAGTCTAAAATCTAAATAGTTTCAAGTACTTTTTGTACTAATGAGAAACTACTGCATTACCACGTGTAGTTGAAATTCTACTAATCCATGGCGGCGCTACGTGTGGGAACTAGCAGAATTTACAAATTCTGCAAAACATTTTGCGCAATGCCTCACAGAAGGATAACTCTACATACATTAGATAATACTGCAACTTAATTAAAATAAGGTTTTCCGACACTTATCAGTTTACGACCAATTTGTGATGTCACTTTTTACAAGCTAGCTATGATATATTGCTTTGAAATAAGTTCAGAATTAGTTTCCGGGCATATTATATTTTTCACGATTTTATTGTAAGAGGGTTGTCTTTCAACAAGTCCGCTTTCTGAATATATTAGCATATCGACATTTTGGGTAGTAGTGACGAACGCTTTGAATTAATATCCCCGGGCGTGTTATATACACGATCTGATGGTGCACTCGTTTAACCTTGTACGGAAGTGATAGCTAGTATCTTCTGATCGCAGTTGATGCTGTTTTTATGATATCTCGAAGTAGAAGTTGCACATCGAACTCTGAAAGTTTCGTTAGATAAGTGACATTTAATAACGGAATCGTTTTTTACAAAAATACTTCCATATGTCCGAAGTACGCTGCATATCTCTTGCAGCAGATCAATCTTGAAACTATCTCAATCCGTGAACGATTTCGGGCGACACCGAAATAAATCACGGTGATCACGCGAAATAATTTTGAAAACATTGCGACGTACGTAACTTGCTTGAATTATAACTTATTAGGTAAAATCTCATGTTGCGGTTCACCGGTTTTACCCGGTGAACGGTTAAAGTGTTTTCCCTGAAATTCCCAATTGACCAATTGAAAATGACCTGTATCGGATTTAAAGAATTCGTGTCACTATGTTTAATTTTTTAAACAGATTGACAACACCGTTGAAGGTAAACAACTTACTTTCAGACAGCTGTACAAGCAAATACAATTATGTGGCCGATTTATCCAAAAGCAAGGGATAAATAAGGGAGATGTCGTGGGTCTAATACTTCCTAATTGCTTGGAATATGTAATAGCAATGATGGGAGTAATATCTTGTGGAGCAGTTATATCACCATGTAATCCTTCATATAAAGAAGGTAAATAATAAATAGAGTAACAAAATGTTTAACAGATTTTTCATTCACAATTCATTCTGATTCTGACATTTTCGTATTAAATTTGTCAAATTATTGGGATCATGATGTCCGTCTTAGTCTCTGATTTAGTTTCAAACGAGAAATTACAGGCGTCCGGTATATATTGAAAACATTGAAGAATTTTCACACATTTGAGATCCCGAACAAAATCTTAATAACGCGTTTATCTCTGCTTGTAGGAGAAATGCAGCATAACTTCAAAATCACGGAACCAAAGATGCTCATTATATCTGATGAAACAATCGATGTCGTGAAGAGAGTTGTCGAACAAACCAATACCATCAGGGTCAAATAAGCATATCAAATTCTAAAACTAATGGTTGTATTACATATTAATGAAATATTACTAAACTCTACGAAAAATAATATAATTATATATACAACGGACAAAAAGGAGTGTTCAGAAGGTTTAATTTTATTTTTATTGTAGTTGAACCTCATTGATAGAATACCTGCCTTACATACATACACCCTTGTATCATCGTTAGCGTTACAGTATATTGTAGTGTCCACCACCATCTCGCAGTTTTGTCTTGTGTACATTTTTAACCAAATGGATTATAGCCGAATTAAAAAATGAAAGTAAGTCATTAGAAGTGTTGAAATAAATTATTATTTTGTTTCCTATAATTTCCATTTGGCTCCGGCTCGAAAACGACCTTATGTGTTTGTATTTTAGAAAATCATTGTCATTGGGAAAAGTGATGACTTTGAAACGTGGGATGAAGGCATTTTAGCAATTGAAAAGGAGCAAGGTGAGAAATTTAAAATTATTCGCCGTGGAATGATTTCATGCTATTTATTACCAGATTATGTATTCTTTTAGAAGCAGTGGTCCGTAATTTCAAAATATCACCAAAAGAGGATTTGGCCATTTTGCCTTATTCAAGTGGAACTACAGGAATGCCAAAATGTGTAATGCACACCCATTACAGTATGATTGCACGTTATTACATTGCTGGTAAGAGAAATTAAATGCAATTTGTTGAGAATGTTGATATTCTGAGACTTTCAAGTTTCAATAGAAACATAATCGTTGATCAGATATTGATAAATTCGCGCGGAGTAAGAATATGATTCAATAGGGCCAACCGGGGCTATGCCCCGGTTGTTTTTTCGGTATAATAAAAAATATTCGAATAATACCTCAATATCGGTTGCACAGACTGTCTACACTAGCCATATTCTCCCGACATGGTTCATTTTTCGCTCGCAAAGCCTTCGCCGAACGTCGACGGGGCGACGCCGATTTTGCCCCGGTTGCTCATCGTATATCGTATTCTCTCTTTTATCTTCCACTCGCCGCGTTTGTCTCGTTTGTTTTCTGTTTCTTTTACTAAATCATCGGGGCTAGCCCCGAAATTATGACGACACAATACCGACGTTTCTTACAACAACGTGTTGACATATTCACGCATTCTTTCTCGTTCGTTGGTTGCTTGAAGAGTTGATAGTTTCCTCGCCTTCGTTTTTGTCGCTTGTTTCGCTATTTGAATCAGTTAGAGACCTTTAGTCCATTTGCTTTCGATTTTCCACATTCCTTTTGAGCTCCTCACTTCTTTCCGGCTTCGCATTTCTTAGCCCTATACCTCATAATGAATAAGGTTGATGCACTACTTCGCACTCCGTTTTCGCAGCTGCCGCTGGAACAAAAATTAGAGGTACAACGTCTTGGACCTTATCAACCAAAAAATTGTTCACTGGAACAATCCCATGACGGAGGAAACCGTCGGCGTACATTCTGCACAGAAACTTGGTATAAAAAACACGAATGGTTGTGTTACAGCGAGGACAAACATGCACTTCTTTTGTTTTTATTGCCTACTTTTTGCTACCGCCCGTGACTCACGTTGGTGTAAATTTGGTTTTAGAGATCTTAAACATCTTTCCGAGCGTGCCAGGGATCATCAATCTTCTATGGAGCATCTGGACAATGCAGTAAAATACCGAACATTCGGAAATGTTAATATTGCAGCACAGTTGGATGAAGGACGCGCGGTTTCTATTCGTCGGCACAACCAAAACGTCGAGTAAAACCGCCATGTTCTCGGTCGATTGATAGATATTTTGAAGTTTATTGGTTGTCACGAGCTGTCCCTCCGTGGGCACGATGAACGGGTTGGCTCTTCTAATAGAGGGGTATTTTTGGATATGGTGGAATACACCGCATCACTAGATACAGTATTGAGAGATCATCTTGATGCCGCAACTGTTTCGAAAGGGACATCCAAGAATATCCAAAATGATTTGCTCGACTCAATGTATAAAATTTATTTACAACATTTGGCTCTGGAAATTGAGAATTGCCAGTTCCTTTCGATTCAGTCTGACGAGACAACTGACATCACGTGCGTTTCCCAACTAGCTGTGATTTTTCGGTTTGTGAAAGATGGTAAACCTACCGAGAGATTTCACAGCTTTGTACCAATCGTTGCTCGCACGGCTTGCGGGATATCGGCTGTACTGAAGGAAGTGTTACAGCCTTACAACGCGAAGTCAAAATTGATAGCTCAAACTTATGACGGCGCGGCAGATGGTAAACCTACCGAGAGATTTCACAGCTTTGTACCAATCGTTGCTCGCACGGCTTGCGGGATATCGGCTGTACTGAAAGAAGTGTTACAGCCTTACAACGCGAAGTCAAAATTGATAGCTCAAACTTATGACGGCGCGGCAGTCATGTCTCGTGGGTCGAAACATGGTGTTCAAGTTTATATAAAAGAAGATTTTCCTCATGCGCATTTTTTACATTGTTATGCACACCAATTTAACCTCGTTATTAAAAATATGTGTCTTGATACCCCTCTCGTCCGTATATTTTTTGCAAATGTTTCGGGGTTTTCTTCATTTTTTTCCGTTTCGCCGAAGCGCTCTGACCTCCTTCGCCAGATATGTAGCCGCCGTCTCCCAGCTTGTGCACCAACACGTTGGAACTTCCAATCACGCGTGGTGCAGGGCGTGTCCGAAATTAGGTCTGAGCTCATTGAGTGTTTCAATGGCATTCAGAGCTCTCCGGTTTGGGACGAACGCTCTGTGAGGGAGGCGGCAGGTCTAAAGCGTCTGCTAGAAGATGGTGAGTTTTCATTTTTTCTCCACAATATTCGATCACGTGGATGTATTATACGGCGCATTGCAGTCAAGGCTAATGGATGGAGCGTCTGTGCAGTCGTGTATTTCAGACTTCTGCGATGCTGTATCTCGTATTCGGGAAACAATAAAATACGACGACACATGGAGTGCTTCTTTACGCCACGGGCAAACAACGCAGCGTTTGATTTTGTCTGCAAAGGAATGCTGTGACATTCTGGTGGATCAAATAGGCGATCGTCTGCGCACTAAACACCTTGCCGCGTTCTCTTTGATGAACCCCAAAAATTTTTCAAAATTTGCACGTCAATTTCCCATCCATTTGTTGGCTACCGTCTCCAAATTTTACCCCATGATAACCGTGGGTAAATTGGAAAATGAATTGCGATGTATATACACCAATCAAACCTTTTTGAACAGCACATCAACTTGCGCGCTCTATGGGTTCCTCATAGATAACACTCTAGTAACTACCTTTGCGGCGTCTGCAAAATTTCTGGACATCATTTTGACGACGCCTATTTCTTGCGCCGACGCAGAGCGAACATTCAGCACGCTGAAGCGTATTAAAACGTATTTCAGAAACACAATGAAGCAAGATAGATTAAATTCCTTGGCTGTTTTATCCATTCACAGAGACGTTATTTCTGGGATGCATGACTTTAATCAGCGCGTTATTGAGCATTTTGCTTCCAAGAAACCGCGGCGTGTTGCATATATGTTCAAGCAGTAGAAGTCTAGCAGCATATATATCTATGAGTGAGCGACGCATGTCCTTATCTTTGCATTAACTTTCCTTTCTTCATAGTAACGTTTTAAACCTTATTTTAGGTTTTGTCTGCTTTCCCGAAGTTTCTGTTAATATGTCATTGTATTTATCTGGGTAAATATTGCCTTTCCTTTTGAAAGAGGTTTCAAAATAAACTATGTCTATATTTATTAATCCCTTGACTTGGACCGGTTTTAAAGACACTTTCTTATCGTTAAAAATTGTCGCTTTTGCCGATTGGTTGTTACCGATGGAATGGTTTTTATACTCATAAAATGATGGGAGAACTTACAGCGCTCATCCTGTCCCCGTAGATGGGGGTGACTTGGTCCCGCAGTAGCTTGCCCCGGTTGTCAAAATGACCACGCGCCGCCACTGGATTCAACAACTAAATCTTAAAAAGAACGAGTTATAATTAAGAGAGATCTGATAAGAATAAAGACTTTCTGTAATTATTTTTTAATAATAATGCTTTTTTTCAATTATATTTCCCTGGGTAGGGTTATAGCTTTCTAATTCGTTATGTGGTATTTCCAAGGTATCATTTCGGCCACAAGCGAGGAGAAACGATTTACAATGAAAGACCGATGTTTCATGTCAATGGATATGTGCTTGTTTCAGTAGCTTTGCAGGGAGGGTGTAAAGTTATTATGGACCGTGAATTCGATGTTGAAAGAACCCTGGTTGCTATGCAAAATTACCGGGTATGACAAAGCACAGGTCCTAAAAGATCGCTCGTTATAACTTTTGTCCATTACCTCGCTAACTACATCGTGTGGATTCCAATTTTAGCAATTCAAATTTGGAAGTAATTACTACTCTTCGGTACAAAAAAGTATTCTAGCTGTTAAAGCTCATGTGTGTTTAAGCCGTTTCTCAAATATCAATTAAGGTGAATCATTTCATTATGGTGCCGCCAATCATGCTGGAAATGTCCCAAACAGATTTGCATAAGAGGTATGATACGTCATCATGGAAAACCTCGTTGACCGGTGGTGCGTCAATTTCAACTTCAATAATGAAAGATGTTGCCGAACGGTTCAACATTAAAATGGTTCCAGGTATGTTGAAAAATATTTATACAGCAAGAGTTTTAGGATGAGTAAGTTATCCATTTAGCTCACGACACAATTTTTGCACACGGTCTCAACCAGGGTGTAATAAATTTGGTGGGTAATGCCGATCCGTAGTTCCAAACTATAGTAGATTTACTTGGTAGTGGTAAATTGTGAAGAGCCTTGTTGATGGCAAAATATATACAAATGCGCCGAATAGAGTAAATATATCTTGTTAATGATACATAATGAAAATCTCACTGCAAAACTCTTACTGTGTACAAAGGCAGTCAACTATTTTACCGGACCGTGTTTAGGTTATGCAATGACGAAATTTATCCCTATTTCAATAAACAACAATGTACACTCGTTCGCTGGTGCGGTCGGTTCAATCAGCGTCAATATTGAGATGATGGTAAGATCTTAAATTGTAATTTTTTGCAGTGATAAGACTTAGTTCATTGCTATATCCTGAATTGAAATAGTTAAGAAAATGAGCTAGAAAAAAAAACTACAGACCAAATCAGATTTGAAATAGAAAGTAACACTTAGAACACGTAAGTAGATACTGATGGTAAAACTTTATTTCATACAATTACTCATTCTTTTTTGAAAATTCGCCACAGCACATCAAAACATTTTTTTTTAATTGTTATACTGCAGATTGCTGATCCAAATACCGGAATAGAATTGAAATCCGGAGAAGATGGTGAAATTTTAGTCAAAGGCCCACAGGTACGTTCTAACAATTCTTTAACACGTAAAAACACATACTGAAATCATCTGTTATGTTCTTCTTATTAAGCCTAGTTGCGAAGCTAAGTTGATTTGAATAAGTACAATTAGGATCCGGTATGACGATAATTGATGATAAACAATACGAGAATATACATAACGTGAAGAATATATTACTAATGCAGTACAACTTATTCAAAACAACTTGAAATGATATTTATATTCTTTAGTTTAGGGTAAATGGAAACTGACTTTGGATTTACGAGAAAGATGCTTATTTACCTTTTACTTCAATTACCCAGATGACTAAAGGATATTACAGAAATATCGAAGCTACAGAACAAACAATAAACAAAGACGGATTTCTTCACACCGGTGATATCGGACATATTCAAAATAATATGGTGTACGTAGTGGGTCGTATCAAGGAAATTATAAAGTATAAAACTTTTCAGGTAGAGCACCATTTGTTTTTGTCAAATTTGCGCTCTATCGCAAGAAAATAAAATAATTTTCAGATTAACATTTAGTAGCTAAACCCGATCGGCAGCAATGCATCTTTGTGGTATAATACTGTATTATGGCTCGCGTTGTTTCATACGTGACCTTGGTTTTCTGTCTCGCTCTTCTTTTTTTAATGCTTACCTTAAGTCGATGACTGTGTGTCTTCTGTAATACATTTTGATTATCTACAAACATCGTCTATTTTCCGAGTTCCCGACACAGCAATCTTGTTTATATATACTCCTTCGGCTAAACGAGAATCTATGATGGTAAATGTCTTACCGAATATATTTTCGAGTATGCATCTGCTATGATGCCATACTGGAATTTGAACAAAAATACATGTGCTCATCCTACTCGAATGCAGCCCAATTATGTCTTTTACTCTATTGTATCATGTTTAGGTGCCACCAGCCGAAATTGAAAATATTCTTCTAAAACATCCCGGCGTTAGGGATGCTGGAGTGGTTGGAATTCCTGATCAGCTTTGTGGAGAATTACCAAGAGCTTTGGTTGTACGAAAACAACTTTCATCTGTCAGTTCTGATGAACTTCTTGAGCTTATTAAAAGTACGGAAATATAAAAACTAGACTCGTTACCACTATTTTGAATATTATACAAAATTATTTCTTATACATAAAGGAGAACTTGTAGACTACAAACAGTTAAGAGGTGGCATCCAATTTGTTGACAAAATACCGAAATCAAAACTGGGAAAAATTGATCGCATAGAGTTGAAGAAGTTGGCTACTCATTAGTTGAAGAAATTGGATAACAAACACAAAGAAATACAAATAATTGTACCCAAAACATAATAATAGTGTAATTAAATGGACCTTTCCCATCCTGGTGTGTTAAAAAATCAACTAACATTAAAAGCGAAGGGTCCAGTTGCAAACTTCGTTACTATTTAACGTGTTAGTAAAGCATTCGCCAAATATTGTAAATAGTCGTTAAATTCTTTTTCGCCGAATCAGAGGTTTCGTAAAGTGCCTACTTTGACATTCGCCATTCAATATATGCTTGTTCAGCCCTGGCGTCTGACGATTGCAAGTGATAATACGACTGAGTCATCAGACAGCGTTTTTCTTCAAGTGTTTATGAGATTTTTCTAGAATCGCAATAAGAGATTTCGCTATTGCATTTTTGAAAGACGCAGTTGCGTGCTTGTAGACCTTGCTTTTTACGAAAATGAGCTGGGCAACATACTGTTGTTCTACTGTTGCAATTTAAATACTGTATGTATATATATTGTACAAGGCAACTTGCCAAACGCAAGGTCACGCGTACTCACTCATAAAATAGAAGATTGATCTCTAAGCGTAGTTACGGAAACCACTATGCTAAGAGTCGCTGATAGTCTGAACTCTAAATCATTGTAGTGTAGGATGGGTTGTTAAATACCGATTGGCGCGAGACTAGAGGATGGGTTAACACGATTTTTTTTTTGATGAATTTGATTCGGTTTAAACTGCCGAATTAAATTGTGTATTATATATAATTTTTTTTTGTACCGTTGCTCATTTTCTTCTTGTTGAAACAATTAGATAGCAATCGGAGACCGCCGACTTATCGATCTTCCACGTGTTCCCTTCGCCCTGACTCAACAGCGACACGGTGTGCCGTCACTAATTGGTAATCAACTTCCCAATTATATATATGACATATTTCATCCAAAATCAATAGACTTCCGGTCCGAGATATGATGAATGCACATGCAAAATTTGGAGCCGGCTTTCGTGAGATATCGCGTGACATACGAAAGTGAAACAAACAAATAAACAGACAAATACCTATCAACATACTTACCGTTCGAGATCGATAAGTAATAAATCTCTCTCACTGTTAACAACACAGTCCAGCTGCCACAAATCAGCACTTTAATTACGAAAACTAAAAGCCAGAGTGCCACGAATCTAAAAAAAAAGTGTAGAGTTAGACTCGTCATTTCGACTCATTTGTTGAATGATGTTGGAGTATGATTAAAAAAAGATAAGATTCTCGCTTCAATCCTGTGCTTTTCTAGGATAAGAGAAACAAAGTTGGCCCTTGCATATTAATGTATGCCCATACAGGCGCTTGTTTGGAATAGAATGCCTGGATAACAAAGCCACCCTTTTGACATAAATGAATTACAAATGATGAAAACTTAGAATCGCCTGGTGGAATGTCATAGATTAGAAAATGATGAGAATAAATAAAATTCTGATTTAGTGAACTGTGTTAAGTATTGTCGTTTTGCGCAGTGGAGCAGTTTAGGCTACGTGGACTTACGTGTTATCGCATGTGACATATTACTTCGTTTGCCGTTTTAGTATTTCAATTAGACGTTGTCCCTCCGTTTTCACCCCTTTGGCGTTTTTTTCTGTTACGAGTAGTTTTGTCTGTTTCTTTTGCCACTGACCTTTAAAACTGACAGCTTACTGTATTCTTAATGTTTCCATATTAAAACTTGTTTTTAAATACCCTCCCCCCTCTCCCCGCGTTTTCCTACAAGCGACTGTAAGGGCAGGAAATGCTAATCCGCGCGGCGGTGTGGCCCATCGTGCTAAGCGTTAGGAATACGCTCGTCAGTCGCCACCGCACCTCTGATTACTCTGCGTGTGTTCGCAGGTTCGAATCCCATGCGAGGGTAGTTATGTGCGAGAAGATTGCTGGACTCCTCGCCGCCGTAGGGTGTTTCACGTAAACGCTGATCGGTTACGGCTTCCTCCGCCGTCAAGCCCATGCTTCCGAAAAAATAAAATGACTAACTAATCCCATACCCGACGTGGACTGGTAACCCGACGAGAGGAGTGGTTCGTCATATGGTTACACCGTCTTATCACTTTTCTCTCCCCCGAAATAAATATGTAGCATTCTATAAATGGTATACATTGTCTCTGGCTAATCATTTACCGGTACCGGTACTCATCTCACAATAAACTTAAAAATGTTTGAAAAGCTATTATGATGCCCCGACCAAATAAAAATCTTATTGTGGTGTCAGATGATGTGAAATTTATGATATAAATGCTTGTCCCTCAAATATTTTCATTCAAATCACTCAAACATGTATCTGGGGTTTTGTGACGTCATCATCTATTCTGACTCAAAGGTCTTCTCTGGAGGGAGAGAGAGAATTTATTATTCCGTCAACCAGAAAGTCTGGATATCTAAACAGAGCCATTATATATGGCTCTGATCTACTATTGCAAATTTTGTGAATTTGACCCACCAAAATTTAGATTCTCCTTAAAAAAATTAGGGCTCCTTTAATTACCGGAACCGACCCTAAATTATCCGAACGGTGAAGAATTTTACCTAAACTTACCGGAACGGACCTATGGGTATCTTTCAAAGGACATTTTATAAACCTCTAGCGATTTTCAAGTTGAAACAACGAACTTTGTGGGGCAGTGGTAAAAAATAATTTCCTGTAATTACCGGAACGGAACCTAAATTGCCTGAACAGGGTGGAAATCCATCTAAACCTACCGGAACAGACCAGTAGCTATCTTGAAAAGGTTATTTTATACACCTATATGCCATTTCAGTTAAATCAACGATTATGGGGGGAACAGTGGCCATAATAACTTTTTCGTGGTGCGTCACCTCGAATTACTGATTTTTTTATCAGTATTAACCAAATGAATGAAAAAATTGATAATCCTTAGTTCTCCTTATGTTGCTAGCTTAGAATTTTTTTCGTAGATAAGGTAACGTAGTCACAAATCTAAATAACAACAAATAAAAATTTATTTCTAGCAATCTTTCGATTGCTATTTCTCTTGCGTTCTTGATCATTTATATAACAATGCGGTAAAATTGCGGTAAACCCCAATCAATAACATTCCATTCGATGACAGTACCGATTTTTGTTGATTAATCGGAGAGAATGCAAAATATCTTTTAAGTACGTTTAATTTTTCTTTTTTCAATTTACCAAAATATTTGCCAGGAGCAATAAAAAAACGAGAATATCGGTCGGAGACCGAATACTTATCGATCAAAACTGCGGTTTCGATTCGTGACTCTATAGTGACACCGCGTGTCTCATCACTAATTAATTAATAACTCGCTAAATATATGACATAATTTATCCAAAATCAATAGGCTTCTGATAAGATGAATGCACATGCAAAATTTGGAGCAGATTCAACCTCGCCTTCTTGAGATATCGCGTTCATCTAACAGACTTACAAACAGACATACAGACAAATACCTATCAACATACTTGCCGATCTTAAGATCGATAAGTAATGACTGAACTCCGTTGTCAGACAGTAATTGCCTGCTCCAATAAGCGAATGTTCTTGGACTTTGGGAACGTGGCTCATGCTTTTTGTGTGACTCACATGCCTTCTTCTAGTCCTGTGCAGTGGATGCTCGTTCTTTGTTACGCAAAAAATCCCTTTCTTTATCAATGGTAAAACCCGTCTTACCAAATAATCCCTCAACGATGGGTTTTCTACTTCGTGTACTATCTGAGAGGTCTTTTCTACAAATGATTCTTCATTTTCTGTGGTTACTATTCTTAATTGTTTCCTTTCACTCATATTGAGTCCCACTTTATTCTTCGTGAATTCCTCGACTCATGAATTCAAATGTCGAGAGCATATTATCATTTTTACCTTAACAACATCAAAGCGATCAAAGATAATAAATTCGCTGATTCGGGAAAGCTTTCCCTAAAGTTACCGTATCTTTTTTTTAACTTGAAAATCGCTAGAAGTAATAATAATGTCCTTTTGAAGATATTTTTGGTCCGTTCCGGTAGTTTTAGGTGGAAATTCTTCCCCGTTACGGTACCGGTACCGTAATTAGATAGATAATTAAGGCTGTAAGGGTCCGTTCCGGTGATTAAAGGAACCGAAAAATTACCCGAACTCCATTTTTTAGAAAAAGAACATCGTCATTGGGGATAAAAATACTTCAATGAGGCTACGGTAGAGTCCTGGTGTCGACGTTTTAGGGTAGGATTTACATATTTATCCTGTGGGGAGGAAAGTTGATAAGACGGCTCAACCATATGGCGAACCACGGCTTCTCGTCCGGTTACGGTACCGGTACTGCCATATACCAGTATACCATACGGTAGGCCTACTACAATACTACTGCAGTACCGGTACTGTCAGACTGTACTACCATTAGACCTACACGCCTACAGTTACCGGTTCCGTATCAGTTTCATTTTTCAGTCATTTCAGCATTAGAAAATGTCTTATTATAATTATAAATAGCCCATGTGGATGTAGCCTATACCTATTTTTTCTTGGTGTGCAAATAAAAAGCTTGGAAAATACTGCAAGATGTTCCGTAAACCAAACTCTGAATGTCAAATCATGGTGTTCCACCCAACGATGGAAGAATTCTCTGATTTTTCTCGCTATATTCAATACATGGAATCACAAGGAGCTCACAGAGGAGGAGTTGCAAAGGTAATTTCTGTTTTTATTTGCTGCATAACGCAGATCCCAGTTTTTGGTTATAAATGCTAGCATTGTCTGATTGTAGTACCTCTGTAATTACATATTTCAAATTTATTTATGCAAATCTGAAAAGTCGAGGGCCAATATAATGTACAACAACTCATCCATAAGAATCATACTGCTGTACTGTCATAGATCAGTACGGCACTCTTTACAGATCTAGCGGCATTGTCTCGTTTCAGAGAAACAATCCTAATACAATTAGGGCAATCCATGACATGGAAACAATGCTTCTTTTTATAAAATATTAGCCTTAATTAAATAGTACTTTTATACATTTATTTTCTTCTGGCAAAAATGCAATCATGACTAGCTTTGTTGAAATGCTTTTCTTTAAGTTTATTTTTCCTTTAATTCTTACCACATTCAACTTCAATTTTATAAATAAAACAAGAATACCTAAGAATTTGACACTCGAACTGAAGTATTTCAACAAAATCTGTATGGTTCACATTTTTGCTGAAATAGATATATTCTATCAAAGACTCTACTAGCGCCCTTGAGTGACACATACCATATAGTCATAAGAACCGCTAATTTATCTCTTATACTTCGCCCATTCATACTATATGGCCTCACCATTCAAAGGTGCTGTATTTGCGCCTAAATTTTGATTTCATTGTTATGTATATGTTTATTTGGTGTTGTGTTGTCTCTATTTATATATATTGTCTTGTCTTATAAACTCCCCTGTATAAACAGTTTTGTATACCCCACCCTTACCACTTTCACCACACTAAACGACCCACCTTGCACAACTGTCTATATAAGGGACCATACTATACATATTTAATCTAATGTTTTTTGTTTTATTTTTGTCAAAAAGGGTGCATGCCGCACATTTGTGTTTTAGGCCAGTACGGTCTTGTGCATGCATCCCGTCTTACATAATAATAATCGTTCATTTATTTTTTTATCACTATTACAAGACGAATAAACATACATACATACAAACCCATTTACTGATGATCACACACTCCTTCTATATTCTTGCTTATTAAATCTCGTTTCGTTTCTTTGATAAACAGTAATTTTTATATTTTTGAAAACATATATTTTGAATATTATAGATTTTATTTTTATTACTAATAATATTCTTTCATATATTGTTTAATGTTATGATCAAATACTTGAGTATGAAATACTCAGTAAGGTCAGTGTAGATTTAATTATAACACATAAAATAATAATAAATACACACTGACCTTACTATGTAGATCAGGGCTTTAGAAATTTTCGTGTTCTGGAGCCCGCGAAGAGGTTGACAAATTTTTTTACAGAGCCCCACAATAAATTAATAAAAATAAAAACAAAAAAACACATTGTTACTTACCGATTAATAATTCTGAGTGGACTAAAATTACTGTGTTTGATGACTCAAATGTATTTGCTGGTTTGCTGATTTAAAAAAAATATTTAGTAGTTTAATAAGTAAACGAATAGCTCGCGAAGCCACTAGGTTTCTCTTATAGAGCCCACGGAGCACTTTGAGAACCTCTGATGTAGGGTATGATAGGACAAGGTCTGTTTTTAGGACTTTAGCCTAGTTGTCTTCAAAGTAGATAAAAACATAAGATATTGCCCAATCGAATTTCCTTTTTTTTCCCTTTTACAAAATTTAACTTTTTATTTGTGGATGGTACATTATACTGATTGAAAGTGATCATATGTCATGATTTCCTGTCCTATAAATCTAATCAGATTATTCAATGTATTCAAGAAAAATAATCGTATTTGCACATCCCTGCTCTCATGTCTTGATGATGGTGTATGTGTGTGCCTCCTCCTGTAAGATTTGTTTGATTTCCTGATCAGGATTTTTACTTTTGGTTTTGCCAAGCAACGCTAGTGATACAGTTGAATGGATCTTACTTACTTTTATGGCTATTTGCGTATCGTGAACTGAATAGGCTACATACTGTAATTCCTCACACCCATTGGTATAGGCCACGGGTCGGGAACCTTTTTGGTCAAGAGAGCCATAAAAGGTACATATTTTCAACTACATTTCCGTTCGAGTCATATAGCCATTTTTCAATTAATCAGGCATGAAATTTTTACTCAAAAGTCAACACATACGATGTCAATATACATTTACTGGACTTCGCTGCGGGCCTTGAACGGTTGCTCACATGCAGTACAAGTTGAAATCTACAGTACTCATCACCCTTCTTTTGTTTCGGCATCTTCGTAGTATTTTTATAACTAGCTTTTCTAGTCCGATCTGAATATGACAGATACTGTAACTAGTGCATACAAACGGACGAAAAGATTTATTATATTGCTCCGCAACTCTGATCGCTTTGAAATGTCACAAAATAGGTTCCAGAACCCCCTAGTTTTGTCACAATGTCAGTCTGGTAATTCTTTTAGATAACATAGACGCTGGGCGCGCGTTCTCAAACGTATTGTCAAATTTGGCTATAAGATAGTTTGAAATCTTGTAACAATAGGAAGCTTATCTTAGAACACTAGATTTTTCGTGGAGCCATATGCCACCCCAAAAAGAGCCATATATGGCTCGCGAGCCATGGGTTCCCGGTCCCAGGTATAGGCTATATACCCAAAGCTTTGAGTAAAGACGGGCATTAATCCTTAAGTGTTTTCGTTCATTTACTAAAAGACATCTGAGGCAAAAAATTAGAAATATTAAAATATCATGTATGTATGTGTATTAGGTATAATAGGCATCGTTTTTTTTTGCTGCAGGCTTGCAACAGTTTGGTCTTTAACTGTTCAAAGCAAAGCTGCTTTGATTAATTAGACAAACCGAAATTGCAATCCCGATGACTTTTGGTAACCAGATATAAAGATAACTTTTGTTCAGCATTCTGTCATTAGTGAATAATTAGTCATAAAACAATAGAAATTATTATAACTTCAATCGACTAATAACAGTAATGATAGGAGGTCGGAAGGACCATAAGATCACCATGATATTTTGAAGGTTTATTACATTAATAGCGTTCCAGGAGTAACTACCAAGATTAGCTCATTGACAATCCCCACAAATATTTCAAATTGCTTTGCTTTGAGTAATGGAAGCTGGTTTAAAAGGGTTGTATCCAGTTATGATACAGTATAAAACAAGAATGAAATAGGAATAGCCATTTTTGAGTATAGTATAATTGTCGACACAGGACCAGTTATTTTTTTATAACTAGGTCTAGGTGCCTTTACAGAGATATAATATAGGTACTTGAAATGAAATGGTATAAAATTTCCACACAACTACAGTGTATAATAATTACCGATATTTGTTTCCCAAGCATCCATCATTTAGAAACTATTAATGGGTGATGAATTTCCTTCTGTTTCATGATAGTCTTTCATTTTCTTCTTGATCACTTTTAATAAAAGGTATAAAATTTTCACACAACTGCAGTGCCAGTGTGTGATACCAGTAAATAACGATATCTGTTTCCAGAGCATCCATCATTAAGAAACCTCCCTTCTTCATTAAATGATTAATTGCCTTGATCCTGTTCTTTGATAGTCTATTATTTTCTCAACTGAATCCCTCTTGATACATTTTTCATTCAAACATGACAGAAGTATATCACATGAAAATATCCCAAGTTTAGATACAGCACTATTTCAAACGTGAAATTCTTTGTTTTATTCAGCTTCATATAACTAAGCCTCTTTGAGTCTTTATATTTTTATATACCTTGGTTAAAAATACTCATCAAAACCTGATTGCACGAGATGTTAATTTGTATACCTGAATTATAAAGAACCTACCTAAAATTTACACATGCTTCTGGCCCATTTTATACCCAGAGCCACAATGTTTATACAGTGAAAGATTACAAACTTTAATGTTTCATAGGAGTTGAATAAATAAATTGTGTGACATCACAAACTTACAAATACTCTGTTTGGGGCTTGTTTTCATGCCTTATCATATGGCAATGTTTGGCAGTTGCTCAAAGGGAGTAAGTGTAAAAACTTTACAAAATACTGACTTAGACTGTCCAGAATTGTATAAATTAAAGATAGAGGGGTATATATTTGTACAAATGAATTCTGGAGTATAAATATTGCAAATTATAGCCTAACCATAATCAAAGCTTTCTCCTCTATGACTCAAAGTCTGAAGATAGCTAAATCTCAACATGAGTTTTGTGTTCAATAGTTTACTCTTTATTGGTTTTATTCAAGTTAACTATGCATAGATTCTTTGCAACCTTGTCAAAATGATAATTTTTTCAGGTTATACCACCCAAAGAATGGAGCCCATGTAAGTCATATGACAACATCGACAATTTAGTGATTCCTGCACCAATTTCACAGGTTGTAACTGGCCAAAAGGGGCTGTATACTCAGGTGTGTCAAATTTTGTTGATATTCTAATAACCCACACCATCTGAAGACTGTTATAGGCACCAGTATACACTGCAAGTGGATTTAAATTGTGTTTGAAATTAAAATTAGTGGTATTACTTTGTAACTTGATGTGACTGGTGATTGAAGCCATGATGGATCAGAAATATCAGATGGGAGAACAATAACTAATTTTAAATTTGAATTGCTTTAATTCAATTTCAACTCCACTTGAAGTTTTTGAAATTTATCTATAATTTTAATCGGAATATTCTGGTAAAATATGAATTTATGGCATCGTCTGAAATTTTATCTCATACAGGGAATATTTTTATATCTAAAATAACTAAAAACTTCAATTTAAAATTTTCTTGTAAAAAGTGTTGTGCAGGATGTTCATAAAGTCACAAAAGTGCAAAGGGAATTTATCGATATCATATATTATAGTTTGTTGGCCCGTACAGGTGTAATAAATGAAGTGAATACTTGAATAAACACTGATTAAAATAAACAAACCTGGTTAAAATATATTAATAATTGACTTCATACCAAAATTGAAACTGTAATGGAACTTTATGAACACCCTGTATGTACCCTTCATTTTCTGTGATTTTATATCGAAACATTTCTTTACACATTCAGTATAATATCCAACAAAAACCTCTGGCTGTAAAAGAATTGCGTAGACTGACGAACACTGACAAATATTCTCCTCCATTTCATGAGAGCTATGAAGATTTAGAGCGAACATATTGGAAAAATATAACGTTCAATCCTGCTATCTATGGAGCTGATATTAGTGGTTCTCTATATGACAAGGTAGCATGATGTGTTGATTAATACTTGTGTTTGATGAAATAAATAGTTTTTTATAAATTTCCAATTTTAATATGGAGCCATGGAAAATATATTTGGCAATTCAACTAATCAAAAAGTATATTTCCCATAATCTTAGCAAACTTCATTGGTAGGACTTGGCGTATTAGCATTTTAGTGACTTTTATCAAGCATGCTCAAAACAGTTAATTCGAAACAAAAAATAAATTTTATTGTCCGAGATATATTTTCGGGTAACAGTAATTTTAATCAAAATTCCTATGGGATTTGGATTTGTAATATATTTATGTAATGGCTACCATTACTAGGTTAAATGAATTTCAAGCTTGTCATCAACTGTCTTAGCAAGGTGATGAATGGTTTGGCAAGTGTGAAAATTTACATGTAGCGATGTTCGCTGATTAGAGTTCCAGTGGTAATAGGTGCATCTAGCTGTATGTATATCAGGCATATTTGCTGGACACAATGTTATTGTTATCACCCAGTTTGATTAATCAATGTTCGTGCATTTAAGTAGTCTGGATAAGACCCGATACACTGTGTCACTGGACTTGCGCCTCAATGCGCACTGCGCAGCCTGGTTCAAATGCCATGACCATTACCTCACCCTGAATGTAATAAGTTGGGTATTCAATTCTTGTTCTTACAGCAAAGTAGTTCCTCACATACAATGGCTGCTTGTATAGGGCTTTGTTCACATAGAAACAGGAAATTTATAAAAATTTGCATATAGGCCAACCCTACAAATCTCATTGTAAGAACTTAGCATGGTTAGAGTTGTAGCTGTTGGAATTATGTTAACATAATGTCATCTCGTTTGAGAGTTATATGTATATATTAGGTTTTTTTCAGTATTTTCTGTTTTTTACACAAAGCATTTCTTTTATAGCATTTGATTTGAGGTATATTTCTTTACCAAGATCCCTATTTTTATAGGATGTAGATGTTTGGAATGTGGCAAGACTGGACACAATACTAGATATGGTAGAAAACGACACTGGAGTAAAAATTGAAGGAGTGAACACTGCTTATTTATACTTTGGGATGTGGAAGACTTCCTTTGCATGGCATACTGAAGATATGGATTTATATAGTATAAACTATGTCCACTTCGGAGCACCAAAAACATGGTAAATATGAGTTTTGACTTTTTGTGTGTCCAAGTCAAGTGTTTGAAAATAGTATACATACTCATGCTTCTTTGTATTCGGTATAATTTTTCTTGATTTAGGATTTAAGATAGCTTTTGAGTAAAGTGTCGTAGATTACTGGAAAGCATGGGTATGATCATACACAAACAGAGGTTTAGGCATTAAATAAATTTTCTTTATTTTCGTGAAAGTATTAAGATATTTATGTGCTCTATATTTTTGGATCACTCTGTATTCAGAATATACCTACAATTAATTGTTTTTTAATTGGTCATCTTCGATGGAATTGACAAATATTTTTGATCTTCTTTTTTTACATTCAAATTTTCATGTGATAATTGAATTTTTATTGTTCTTTTCACATTTGTTCATGATGCTCAAGTTGTTGTTGTTACATTACCATTGTTCTTGATTTCTAGGTATTCTATTCCTCCTGAACACGGAAAGCGTCTGGAAAGATTAGCCAATGGTTTCTTTCCAAATAGTGCTTCAACATGTCCTGCATTTCTACGGCATAAAATGACTTTGATTTCACCGTCAGTGCTGAAAAGATATGGAATACCGTTCAATAAGGTAATGATGAGTGTTTTTTCTTATGATTTTAAGATAAGTTTAAGTACAGTTGAAAATATTATAAAGAAATTGCAAAAATATGAGGCTATTTGTAAAAATATTTTATATTTCTCAGTTTTACCAAATTTCATAAATCTGAGCAGTTATTGGTATGTAGGCTATTATCGGAGATGGCATTTTGTCAAGAAATGTGTATTTTGAATTATTTTGGATATGATTTTGAATTATGGGGGTTATATTATATGGGTTTTGTTGATGGCGTAGTGGTTAGCGATGGATTTAACGTTTTTTTCATCACAAATGAGAGAAATTGGGTTCAAACTTCATTTTTACCACCATGAGAAGAATATAATATTTTGGGTAAGCAATGCTGAAGTAGAATGATAACTTTCATAGCAATGGCTGCTTGTGCAAAGCCTTGTTTGGAGTGAAGAATTGAAAATACTATAGAAAAATATTGTCAAAGAGAAATTGACTAGATAACTCAAACATGCGACAACAAATGTCCTCTCATTGTGTATGATGGAAATAGATAACTTGTTGGAAGCATTTTGTAAGCATGGACTTGGATTTGTCTAGTTTACCTATCATGCTGGAATCAGAGTGAAACACATCTAACTTACAATCCTATACTTTTGACAGATAACGCAAGAAGCAGGCGAATTTATGATTACTTTTCCGTATGGTTATCATTCCGGATTTAATCATGGTTTCAACTGTGCGGAATCCACCAATTTTGCGTCAGAAAGATGGATCGATTATGGGCTCGCTGCAGAAAAATGTCGATGTCAGAAAGACATGGTCTATATTAATATGGATCTCTTCATCAGAAATTTTCAGGTACTTTTTATTTTTGAAATATTCTTAGCATAAATGAGAAATTAATTGATTGGTTGCTTATAATCAATTGGAAAAGTGCATAATAGACCGTAAAATTAATTAGTTCCGAATTTAAGACGTTTCATCATAAAATTGAAATTTTGAAATAGACCTATTTAAGTTCGGTAAGTATTGTCAACAGACAATACAAAAGACATGTACATGCATAAGTTAGAGTCAAAAGTCGACTCTGTTAATTCTGAGTCTTTATGGATGGAGGATGAGAGTCGTTGCTGTATGTAGTCTTTTCAAATGGATCTAAATTGTGAAAATTTCTCCCAGCTCAATTCAGTTTAAAAATGCCTTATAAAAAAAACTCTCTAGTTTTATTACACTGAAAAGTGTATAATATTGTGTGCATGTGCAATCATTGTATTGCATTGCATCGTATTGATTCAGAATCTTGTTCAAATCCAAATTTATCTTTTTATGTATTCATTTGAGCATTTACTATTTTTGTTTTCTCTCTTATCAGCCTGAGAAATATGAACTCTGGAAAGAAAATAAGTACGAAGCAAAGTTATCTTATCAAGATATTCCTGATCTGCCTGATTTCTCTAAGAAACCTGTTCATTGGAGGGTGAAAATGAAAGAAATAAAACTTGAAAATGAAAAACAAAAGTAAGTCGTAACTAGAATTCTGTCCGTTTTTTCTGGCTGAATATACAATTACCTATGTTTCTGATACTGGCTGGCTGGGGTCAGTGCAAACGTTAGACACATGCCGGCGATTGCTTGTCTGATTCATCCACACCGGAATAACAGGTTTAAAAAGAGAAAAAATTGCTCGTCTTTAGTTTAAGTTTTAATACAGCAGCAATTTGGCAACTGCTTTCTCTTTCATCCAGTTCCGACCGCCTGAAATATTGCTTGGATATTTACAACCTGACCATTTGAGAGCTTGTGGTTTGTCTTATGCTTAAACTACAGCCCTTTCTCTAAAGATGGGATTTTGTCTCGAGTATTTACTAATATTGTATGTGTGACAATATTTCTGTTAATTTTATTTATATTATTCTGTACTAAATTCTAATTTGTTTTCCCTCATATTTAAATAATTTTTCAATACAAATCGTCAAAATGATCAATCTGATAAATATTTTTTCAACTTTTCAGAAAGCTGAAAACTTCATCCACTACTTCAACGAAAGTTGATCAGTTATCTGCAAAGAAGACTCCTCAAAAAATTTCTAACAAATCTCCAGCTAAGATAAAACAGTGAGTATAGAAATGCTACACATTGCAATTGAGATATTTCAGAAGTAGGCCTACTGCTCTGTGCATCCCCAATTTCGTTTGAGGTAATATTTGTTTGATGGTTGGCTGGTTAGCTGTAGGAATATGGCTCCTATTACCATTTGGATGGACTCACTCGCATAGGTCAATTTGGCTGCTGCCATATTAACAGACATCAGGTTTGATTTTTAGGGCAACTAGTCAACTATACAAGATCAATCAAGATTCCAATCAAGATTTTCATGGGTTCTAATTATCTCTAATCTTAATGAAAAACGGTGATAGATATGTCTCTGTAAATTTTGTTACATTATGCTATTGTCTAGAAAACTGTCTCATTTCATTGACTGTATTGTCTCCACTGTCAAACATGAATATCTGTGTGTAAATATTTTGACAATATACTCCTAACTTTTTTTTTTTGATTTTTTTTAAATTTTATCCATAACTTATAATACATTTGAGGCAATCTTTACAAAACCTGACTTTTCTCATTAGAAGCATAAGATTTGAATAGAAAAGTCAATATTTCAGTTTAGATTCAGATTTAGTGATGTTTTAATTTATATGTGCTTACTATATATATTTGAGGTATTCTATTTAGATCGAGTATCATAGTATTGTATCAACATCCTTGGCAAGGTTTAACTTCGAATATGACCCATAACAGTGAAAAGATTTTATGTAGAATGCTCCATCTTGCTTCATCATTTGCTTTAATTTTTTTGTCAAGGTCACCATCTGGATTATCAAAACTGCCTTGCTTCGTTAAACTGGAAAAAGACTTCACTATTTGTGATTCACAACACATTACGAATTCTTCAAAAAAATCAACGATCAAGAGATCATTATCAGAAGTATCATCAACGAGTAGCAGCGGATTTTGTCTCCAGAATATTTCGCAAACTAAGAGGCTGCAAGGTAGCAGCGGATGTCTCAATAACAAACCATCAAGTACTAATGTGTACCAGTTGAATATGGGATCCGTATTTGCAGGGTTTATCCCTACCACAGATCAGGTATGTGCAGTATTTTTTACTCTTGGATATTACTTTCTTCTCCATTTTTGAATGTTGAATGGAGTAATCATATTGAGCTTATTTTCTGTAAATAATGGGAGCACAATACTACAAAATTTGAATTTAGAAATATCGTAATACTTTTTTTTAAACGACTTTCAATCAGCTTTTTTTAGGTAGGTTTTCAGTGACCTTTGCTCAACTTCTCCATCTGTTGATGCTGAAGCCAGTTTTTTTTCCAACCCAATCCTTGTCTCAATCACATTCTTCCAGGTCCAGCTATCTTTTTTCACTTAGACCAGCGTTTCTCAGCTGGCGGAATTCTTCTCTAGTGAGGAATTTTATTGTTTTAATGTAAATATTACTTTGTGTTTGGTGTTGTTCTACTGGTGTTGTTCCACTGGTTAGTTTTTTATTATCATTGTAATACATCTCGTACATCATAATCTTGCTCTATTCAACTTGGGGAGGAATGTATCGAACCACTAACTTGAATTATATTTACAAATTCTAATATTTTAATATTTTTAATTAGAACACTGTTTCACTCGATGATGATCAGTCAAGTATATCATCACAGTTTCTGACTCTCTCAGACAGAATTAAGATGGGAAGGAGAAAACCGAACAACAACGAAACAAAATCTTCACAACTAAGTAACGAAACAACAAATATTAAAATGAAGCCGAAGCAAACAGAACAATCTAAGACAAACCAAAATACAATTTCCCCACCAAATTCGGATCACGACATGTACACGAAGCGTTTGACAATCAATAAACCGTCAGTTTGGGCTGAAAGACCGTCAACTTCCAAGCAACGATCAAAATCTTATCCCCCGTTACCAGTGAAAATGTGTTTCGTAAATAAAGAGAAACAACTAGAAGCAGGTTCAGAGCAAAATTCTGTACTGAATCAATCGCCGGAGAGAGTGAATACATTTACTGCACCGTCTTTGAATAAAAAAGTTGATACGCAAAGTGAGTAATTGTAAAAGTGCTTTGTCATTGTATTTTCAAGTTCAGTTAATTTCTGAAAAATCCATATAATATATCGAACTTATTATTTAAGGGGATCTCCCTCAACCAGCATCATTTTTGACTTCAGTTTTATAACTTCTAAAATATTTTTGAATACACCTGGATATCAAAGGATTCATGCTTTGGTTAATTATCTAGTTTTTTTATGTTGACATCTATAATACAGCTAATGTGTAAAAATTTATAGTAAAACTATTATAGACAATATACTTGAATGGATTTAACCAATTTCCGCCACCTTACCTTACTTAAATAGCCAAGTAGTTGCCTCGGAGGCTTGTTTTGAGCAGGAATACATCCTAAAATTGCGTTAAAAGGGTTCTGAAAAGGTTTACAATGAATGGGTGTGACAAGCATTAGACTCAAGTTAAACTTAGGACCAAATCCCATGCCCACCAGCCAGGCACCTCCCAAGGTGTAATAAATTGAGCAGACAGTGCTGGACCGGAAGATTCCAACCGTTCTAAACTATCGTACTTTCTTTTCTAGTAGGGCTGCCTCTGCAGAACCTTGTTCAGGAAAAAGACGTATAAATATGTATAGGAAAAAATCTTCGGCTAGTTTTTTCATGTGTGGGTGAACATTTTTTTTAGAAACTATGTCCTCTGCTTCTACTGCAAAGCATGAACTCCCTCAATTAACTTCAATTAATACAAAAACAAAACTAACACCTGAGAAAAAGGAAACAAAACTTGAAACACCGTCGAGTAATTCCTCAGGTAAATAATTATGTTGTTTGTTGGTTGCGCATGACCATTCGTTCAAAAATGATTGAGGATGATCTTGCAATAGATTTTTTATTTTCCCTTATTTATTATTATTTTTTTAATTTGTTTGAACTACGTCTCGCTATTACTGAAATCTAGAAATATATTAATCAGATCGCTTTGTGTAAAATTGGACTAAAGTCATCATTTTACTGTAAAAACAGCTCATTTTATCATAGAACAGTGGTATTGAACATCTAATTCTAAAGTCTTTCCTAATATTCAATTTTTAAAAAATATTGTCTTGAATATTCTTCGGACAAAAGTGTTGCAGGTTTAAAATCTCGAGTGTTGACCCTATGCCCATCTCATTCAGGGTGTATTAACTTGGGCTAACAATGCTGAAGATATATTCTTCTTTTATATATTAACTTTATGTAACAAGAGAATGCTTATACAGAGTATTGGTTGGAGTGAAGCTGTGACAATAATAACTCTTAAAAATATAAAATAAATTGTTATTTTGAATTCAGTTGAATCAGATTTAAGCGGGAGTGAAGAATCAGCTGCAAATTTTTTATTACTCATGAAACACTCGCAACAGTCGAATTCATCTACTAATTCGAAACAATCGCAAAATATGAAAGAGAAGGTAAAGGAATCGCTAAGCAAAGCAAAACAATCACCTTTTTCTGCTACTCGACCGCCGTTAAAAAGACGACATCCCGTCAGTAAGAAAGGACCGTCTAAAAAATCAAGTCCCACGGTTTTTCTCAAGAATACGAGTGCGGGTAAGTTTGAATTACTAATCTTATTGAAGGTATTCATTTTTGAAAATATGAGAATAACTTTTGTCCAAGCAAAATATATTAAAATTTGCAATCATCTATGAAAGGATTACACATTCAATTTGAGGACACTTATCATATGGGGAATGACCGACAACCTCTCATCCGATCAAAGTATATGATAAGTTTATCATTTTATTACTTCCTGAGGTGGAATGTGGCTTATGGAGAAAGCTGCAGCAGTGAGAAATTCAACGCTATTCCAAAATTTTAAAATAATGTTTCTCTTTTTGTGAATTTTATAAACAGATTCCGAGTCAAGTGAAGATGATTTAGACAGCGGTACAACAAAACAGAAGCGTTCAAGGGGTCGGCCTTCTAAATCTGAAATGAAATCACTAAGAAACAGTGATGGATATCCTAATTTATGGCCGAGACGGAAAGCGAGTTTTAAAACAGAACGACAATATAATGCGACTGTTGCCAAACTACCACCTCATTGCGCCGTGTGCACTTTGTTTTGCCCGTATTATAAGGTACTTATATCTTATGAGCTGGGTTTGCCGGTCCTGTAAGAAGAAGAACGTAGCCTATTAATTAATACTGAAATCCGTTGACAAATCTGTTCATTACTAGAGTTACCAATATGTTGCAGTCACTCCAAACCTGACACGGGGGAAACTATGACCCGCCCGGGCCAAATCCGGCCCATTGAGTGATTCATGATTCAATCTGGCCCACCTGAACGTAACTAAAACCAAATTTTTAAGTGTTAGCTAAAAAAAAATAGCTGAAGGAATATGTTGAGATTGGGATTAAATTTAGTTTCGCCACGAGGCTTTTTGTATTTCACTTTTAATTTTGTAACACTGTAAATCAAATTCTGTCATTCATAAATCGTGACTTTTTACATCACACTTACATTGGCCCCTGGTCCAAAAATCTTGCCCACCTCTGCTCTAAACCAGGCTCTGCACAGACAGGGACCAATATGTGAAAAGCTGCCCCTATACTGGAAGGCCGAAATCTTTGCATTTCTGCATTATCTACCCAATTTATTACACTGTGGGTATGGTGGTGGTGAGATTTGAACCCAAGATTTCACCCCGCGATGCCATCATGGATAGGTATATTGGGTTTCTCCGACTTTTTTTGCCCGGGAAACACCTATGCTTTTTATCTTGCCTAGCGGGACACCAAGAAATTAGAAAGTTAAATTGGTAATAAAAAATTGTGTGTTGAATCAACTTGCACAACCGACTTACCATGACATTTTTTTTATTGCGTCTTCCAGTTTTAAGCCAACAATCCATTGGGTGGTTGTCAAAAAATTTAGCCTATGGTAGAATTGAAAAGTTTCCTGTTAATTTGACAATTAAAAACTTAGGCTGACAGTGAACAATATTGGACGGTTGACGAAAAATAATGAGTCTGACAGGTTAACGATTTCTAGATAGTCATTGAAATCTATTGTCCGGTGGCAAGCATATGGATTTGAAAGTTTGTCTAACTCTGTATGAAATCTCAGTATAAACTTTTTTTTATTTGTTTTCTATTGGACAGAAATGTTTGATCGGTGATCAAAAAACTCCAACCTTCTCAGAATTATTGGAAAAATCAGCCTCAAAACCTCAAGAAACAAGAACAAAACCACTTATTCCAGAAATTAATTTTGCGACAAGTGTGAATAACCCAGCCCCTCTTGCTACTTGTCAGCTATTAGGTAAATAAATCACCTCGTTCATAATCATGTTTTTTGTTAAACGCTCATCAGTAAATATACCATACTTCTGTAATGCTCATCGCACAGATGGGACCCTATTAGTACAAAATGACACACAAATTGCAGAACTTTACGAACAAAATTTAAAATTTTGGCCACACGCCATGAGGGTATATTTTGATATTTTTATGAAGTTAACTACTAGTTGATGGTAAAGGGACTGCTGACAAGTATTCTAATAAAATTCCTATAAATGGTGTGTAATACAGTTCACCAAATATCATCTATCATTTCCAGAATGAAATCTGTTATTGAAAAGTATCAAATAAGTATGTATATCATAGTGCGGCTAAATGAAAATATTATGATTCCCACTCTAATATCAAAAAAATAGACTGGCTGATCTTTGACCCCACATTCCTGGTTGAAATTTTATATTAGAATTGCTGGCTGTATATATATCTAACAGGGGATTTGCATAAAATGGTCATTTTGTAAAGCCAGCAAATGCCTTTATATTCGAAACCGCTAATTACCCACTTTTGTCCCTATTTTGTATATCTCCGCTTTCTGTAGAGTTGACAATAAAGCTTGTGCTTCTAGATTCTGAGGGCAAAAGCAGTCTTATTCAATGTCAAGTCTGCATGGTACAAGTGCATGCTTCGTGTTATGGAATTGTGAAACCTGAAAAACCATGGACGTGCGATAGGTGTTCTTTTAAAGCATGGATTGCTGTAAGTAATTGGATTTAGAGTACCATGGTCATTGTAATCCTAGTATATTTAAATTGTTGAAAAGCGAATAAATTTTATTACATAATACTAGTGTGCTCTGGTCCAAGCCTTTTGGTAATCGTTAGGTTTACAATTTGACATTCGACCTGGTGCCCAAATGAAAGACTCACAAATTAAGCACAGCTCTGTGCAAATTGTCTAAATTTGTTCGTCCGAAATGTCGCAGCATTAGTCATATCTCAAAATGAGAAATGAATCTTCACTTATTTTATGTTCACACTTCTTCAGCAATGTTCTCTATGTTGTATGAGAGGTGGTGCCCTCAAACCTGTTAACGATGGGTTGCAGTGGGCCCACATATTATGTGCCGTGTCAATACCAGAAGTGTCATTTGATGATATACCTTTAAGAAACGGAATCAATATAAGAAATTTAAGTCCTGCTCGGCAAAAACTGGTAAGTGTTGTAATTTTTGGTTTTTAACTATCTTTTTTCCTACATACAGGCCAACCAGGGTTTTTTCAGGAATCTGCGCAGTCCTCAGTCGAATTCGCTGTGTTTAAATTTACCTGGCTATAGGGCCAACTTCAGACAATAGGCAGCTGTCGTACAACAACTCGGCACTTCATGCTAGTTATATTGAGTCAAATTTTTGGAAAACCCTGATACTTCATTTGGTATTATCGCAGTCATCCTTTTCAGGATTAATGCTGTCAAAATATTAATGTTTCAAAATATAACTTTAGTTTTTCAACAACAAAGTATCATGCTTGCATTTCATTATATTCGTATTTAAGAAGTTTGGATATGTGACTCGATCGCTAAGCAAATTTACTGGTAAACACTGTAATGGCAAGACCATATAGCATTTTGGGGTTAGTCTATGCCATGTCTATTTTTAATTTCTTTTATATGAAATCGAATTCAAGTAATTTTGTTAACCATCTCTCCTGTAAGCTATGAATAAATTTATTATTCTGTTTTCTAAAAACTTCACAAAATAAAACGAAATATTTAGTAACCGGTAGTTCGAAACTTTTTGAGTTTTTTTTTTATTTAGAAATCGCATTTGTTTTTCAGAAATGTACATACTGCAAAAGAGCTAAAAAGAATTTGCAATCTCTAGGAACTTGTATCCAATGTTGTGCGGGGGTGTGTGCCATATCGTTTCACCCAACATGCGCTCACGCTGCTGGAGTTAAAATGGAGACCGGCGATTGGCCTCTTCCTGTGTTTGTGTATTGTCACAGGCATGCCCTGCAGAAAGAGAGAGCCATGGTATGTATTGAAACTTTCAGATGTTTCCATAAAGACAAATAGTCAATTTGAATCCAAATCTATCTCAATATAATATCTCACAAATTTGGATCCTAATGCATTAAAATCCATTATTTGGATCACAATAATGTTTACCATATCCAAGATGATTGTCTGAGTATAGATAAATCTTTGACTCACCATCCAAGAGTTCACAAATGCCTTTCCCATCAGCGATGTCCGTTTATGAAGAAGCTTTCATAACTGGTTAACTATTATGCAAATTTTATTGTTAATCAGAGACGTGGGTATAATGTGATAACTACGACATCTTATCTTTTTCCCTTTCTCATGTTTTTATTTTTTATCAACTAGACTTGCTCAAACTTTTATGGTCCGCGACCCACTCTCAAGGACTACTAGCCTATGGCCCACTGCTGTTCTATAAAAAATATTAAGTTTTGCTTTTATTAACACTTTTCTATCAGGTATTTTATGCGTCATGTCAATAAAAAAAATTTGAAAAAAAGTAAAAGAATTATTCCTTTACAGTCAAAGAATAAAAATCATGGTCAGTTTGCTTCAATAAATGTGGTCATCATGAATGGTACTTGGTGAAGACCTTTTCTTGCGGTCCTAGAAAACCGAGACCCAGTTTAAGAAATCCTGAACCATACTTCATGCCAAAATTTGCTCAAAAGATGTAGCAAACCTAATAGACACTGCTCTCATATTGCTTCACTCTTGAGTATACTGATTTTTTATTGATATGTACAGGATGTCAAATCTGGCAAAAATCTTCCTGACGTTGCAATAGGACAAACGGTGTTTGGAAAACATCGAAACGGTAGATATTATCCATGCGTTATACGAAGTGAAACATCGCAAAATTTTCATCATGTCATCTTCTCAGACAATTCATGGAGTGACAACCTTTATCAAGAGGATATCATTGTAAGATTTATATTTTTTTGGCTTTTTTTTTTCTTTTAAAAAAAAGCCTTAGTAACAATTATCTCTGTGTTATTTATATCCAGTTTACTATCTCCTACAAACGATAACTCTGTATTGTCCAACACTCATTATTTTGGAGGTTGCATGCAATTGCATACTTGTTATGGCTGTGCTGTATAGAAGGAGGTCTTTTGCGATAAATACAAGTATCAGAAACTGCAAGAATTTTTATATTTTTTATCATCTATGCCATTTTTACATGGCCATTAAATAAAATATTCAAACGCCTTCAACGTTAATTTCCTATTTTTCTCCTCATTTTAGAGTCATACTTTTGAGACAACATTTCCTAGAGAAGGTGATAAATTGTCTGTTAAATGGACTGATGGAAAAATATACGAAGCCAGCTATGTACAATGTAAAAAACACCAGGTCTTAATGGTAAGGATCGTTTGCTGTCACTATTGTGTCGTTTCCTTGTTCACTATGATGTAAAATAGGGCATTGGTATTCAATTAGTTTGCTCCACCATTATATTCTTGAATAAAGGGTGCTCTAAAAAATCGAAACCAATGTCATTTGGAACATATTTTAGAGAACATAACTTTTGTTAAAAGCGTCTTAGATTACTAAAATTTCTGGGTACATTCATACGCAAACTAAAGTTCAAGTGTTGATTTAGTAAAAGTATTTGAATACTTGATGGATTATATTTTTTTTATATCGATTTCACAACGTCGATGTAAAATTTGGCAAGAATTAATACTGGCCAAATTAGCTCATTTTAGAGAAAAAATAGTTTTCATTTTGAGTTACATTCGGACTAATTTTCAAGCCGTACCTTTGTTTTGTAAAGGTTGAATTTGAAGATGCATCTTTTCTTTCAATAAAACGGGAAGACATGTATACAACTATGGATGAAATGCCTAGAAGAATTAAACGAAAATTGGTGAGTTTATTGCTGTTGTTGAATAAATGATGTAAGAGAATACAATGGTAACCTATGGGTACTCCCGTAGTACATAATTTTATTCTGATTTTCCTTTTTTCTATTGCGAGTTGGGGGACTGTCTGTGCTTGTCATATGAATATTACACTCTGCCCATATGATCTGTCCCTTTACACAACTTGGTGTAAAGTATGCGAATAAAATTAGTTACCTCCATATTGGTACACATACCTCTAGAGTGCCAACCTATGGTGTGGTAACCTATTCCAGTGAAATATATAGCAATAGCATATTTGTATGAAGTATGCATTACGTAAATTCACCATTGAAACTAATGGTTGATCTAGTAATCAGTCTTCATCAAGTGTATTATACTTTATTTTAAGACTTCGAAATATTTTTTTATTACAGTCAAACGCAACTCTCATGGCGAAATCGGACTATCTGGAGTCGCCGAAAAAGTTAAACTCAGGCTCGTTTGTAAGTCAAAGAGCTGCTTTCAATGAAAAAAGGAAAAAGATGGCGAATGCAGCTACAGAAATCAAAACCACCAATGCTGATGAATCTCACAATATAGAGCTGATGAAAAATAATGACACTGTGCCAACAAATGCTTGTACCAAAGGTTAAATGAGTTTTTATCAGGTGTTCCCTACATGGATTCTGTCTCAGGGTCTCAATAAGATACAACAGGGGTGTGCAACCTTTGTTACAGGTGGGCCGAATAAAAATAACTGGGTGAAACCGTGGGCCGCAACTTTATTTATCAGACTCTCTAGTACAAGGGTGGGCGAAATTTTTTAGTATAAGAGCCACATGCAACTTGTCAGAAATACGTGAGAGCCGCATAATTTTTGAAATCAATAATATTAATACCGTGAACTGAAAAGAACTTTACACCAACTTATAATAACAATATTGCAAAGTATTCATTGCGAGGCTATATCAGAAGTAGTTGAAACCGCCAACGCAGCAACAAATATTTGATTGTAAGATTTGGCGTTTGACTGATTTAAATTAAATTCCACGCTACGATTTTCATACTAAAACGGTTTGCGGTTTAACCACCGTTGCTTTAGTAGTTACATGCACAAAAATTTTGGTATTTATCTTAATGTGTTGTTTGCTTTGCACAAGCTAGCCGTTAGGGCTTTGTAACCCCATAGGCATGGACAAAAAAAAATTGGTCTCAGGTATAGTATAGGCTTGGAATTACTCCCACGTACCAGAATAAACTAAGTTAAAAACTCATTTCGCAGGCTGCCGGATTTGGCCCGCGGGCCGCAGGTTGCACACCCGAGGGGTACAGCATTGCACTTGTAATTCTAAATTTTATTTCATCATCATATTGTACTGTGTAGCTTTCCTAAAAATCAGTCTTGCTGAAAGCCCAATAGCTGCTTGTGGAGGAAGCGAAATGACGATTGGTAATATTTACCCATCTCTACTACTAAGCTACCATGGGGTCAGTCATAAAGTTGGCTTAGGACTTTATAAAACTTCAATATAACATACTAAAAAAAGGAATTACGCTATATTATTGAACTGTAGTAGTGTACCTGGTGTAGCATTACTATGGGGTTAAATGAAGATAACATATGTTTTGAAGGGTGTCTGCTGTTCTTAATAAGAGTTTGGCACTCTCTAAATTGTTAAATGCTAAAGATTTATAATAATGATGAATCTCAACTTTGAGACTAAGCTTATATGATAATTTTTTGATTTAATCTTATGTGATGAATTTCGTTTTTATTTGTAGTCTATACTGAATATTTTTGATGGCATATATATTAGAATTTCTTTTTCATTCTCATATTATAATTTTTATTTCATTGTTGTTTGTCTTAATCAATCTGCTGTTATGAATTTTCGCACGTTTCTTTACTAATTTAGCCTGTCACATAATGAATTAATTCAAAATGGTCAACTAAAAATGAAAATATCTACCCTGTTTGCAGTTTAAATTTTTCAATAACAAGGCTGTTTTTAACAGTTGGGACTTTTTATACTCTCGGCACAGTCAACTGAATAGAATTGTGTCTGCAGTGCAAATTCTTTTCATTGTCATTTCATATTGGTTCTTGTTTGCATGTATTGTCTAGAAATTAAGCATCGTTTTTGTTGATTCGTCATTGCAGATGTTATTGTCCTTGGTATCCAAATAAAGCCAGTTTAAAGAATGCTATTGGTATGGGTGTCGTTATTGATTCAATTCAACACACTCTCGAATCACTCCCACCATTTGGTAACGGCTAATGTTAAGATGAGGCTTGGTCGACTTGTTAAAAGCTAGGGCTACATCAGAAAAATACCTATTTTTCAAAATCAGTGTTATATCCCTCTTTCCGTTACGATATACGGTAGGTAAAAACTCAACATCTTCAAATCTATGCTATTCATAGAACTGACATTTTTGACGACCTAGAATCGCCCTTCTCGACTTGTATACTCTTTCGAAAACATCATTTTAACTCATAATTCACGATAATTGATTTTATTTCATTCATGAAATAGATAATAACATGCCACAAAGCATCAAGAGGTTTTGAGCAGTAAAACGTATATTTAAAAATAGAATAATAATTCACTGATTGTGAAACAACAAAATGAGATATTTATGGGACGCATTTGGGCGGTTGCTGACAAAATTTAACGTGCGCTGCCAACCTATTTAACCTATATTTTCCCCAATTTATCATAGCTTTCTGCTTTCGTTTTTTGATAATGTATTTACATTAAAATGATCAATTCTGAAATTTTTAAACACATTTTTTTAAGCCCAGAGCTTAAGTCCAGAGAAAATATTACCTATCAAAGAATTAAAAACGCCTTTTTGGTATCATTAATTAACATTGTATTTCACCTTAAAGTCACCATAACACAAAATTTTGTAAACATAAAACAACAAATTGTAGGTTTTCTAAGTCGTAAATTACAGCTGTTAAAAAAATGGGAATGAGGAATATATTTTAGTATTAATTAATTCAAGGTAAGATTTTAAACATTTGATTCTTGTTTAGAATATGATGAACTGGGTTCTACTGTTGAACTTTCCTTTGTAGGACTTGGCGTTTTTTGTCCCAAGCTCTTCGTTCTAATCCAGGTTTCGCCTGTTGATAGTGATCTAGAAAATTTTCTGTTACAAGATGGACTGTATGACTGGGGAAATCGCAATACCTGGAATGCAAAAGAGGCAATTTATAATAGTTGACGGCGTTAAGATGAAAACATTACGTTTGACGACAGCGACTGCTTAAGCTTTGACACTAACAAAGAGGTGTAGAAACTTTCTATAACGGAATGTAAGCACCTAATATGCAAAATAAAAGCATTGAAAGAGCTAAATTGTAGGGGAATATGGGGTCCCATAGAACTCGAGTGAATTCGAAAATAAACCTAAAAGTATTAGCCTTCTATCAGCTTCAACCATCTCGAAATCAGTAAGAATCTATAGACTACCGTGTCTTCAAAAAATCACTATTATGGCGAAGTGGTGGCATTCAATTTTGGGAAGTGAAATTGTATTCTAGTCTACAAATCATGCTTACCTGTAGGGAATTCATTCTTCTGTTCCAATAACGAACAATGGCATCTCTTGTTTCCGACGTCACAAAGCAGTATATTATGAAAAGAAAAACTCCCTGAAGTCCATTGAGTAACACATTTACATACATAAACATTGTAGAAGCCGTTCTATTTTCCACACCTAGAAAATCAAATAGAAGTTGTAGTGTCTCGAAATCATCAACAATTAGATATGTATTGTTCAATGTAACAATTTTTAATTTTCAAAGCTTGACATAAATTTTTTGATAATCATGAAATATTAAAATCACCGTGAGTCAGCTGATTAATCTGTAAATGTTGCAAAGATATATATAAAGAAATAGGCTGAAGTTACCACCGTTCACAGTTGTCGCAAAGAAATTTAGTAGAAACTCGTAAAAAATTTTCGTATTATCATAACTATTATCTTACCTACCAGATATCCAGTAACCCATGGTACGCCTAAGACTGGCAGAAATAAAGCATAAAATTTGAGAGATGAACGGACGCTAGATTCTTCAACTTTGGAATCAGGCGTTCTCTCTCTTCCCTGACTTTCCCCAGAAGGACGAAGATTATCAGTAGCTGAAGTCATTCGACAAATAATGCATGTCATTCTTATTACTATAAAAATATTAATTAATAAAATTGCTGATATTGGTATTATAACAGAACCCATTAACGCAGTGGTTTGGAGCCAACAAGAGTTATATTTTCGAACAATGTTTGTTGAGAGCTTATTTCTGGTTTTATATTCATTGTATGTTGGATTCGGATCCATATATTTTTCGTTCATAAATCCAACTCCGGCTGAAATTAGAACAATAACGGCCGGAAGCCCCCAACTGTGAAGATGTCTACCAATCTTGATATGCCGTCCAAATTCACTATAGCGCAGAACGTAATTTGTAGTCTTAAATGAGATCGTTATACCTTCCATCAACATCCACATTCCTAAAAGTAAATACATCATTGTTATTTTTTATATTATTTATTATTACGCTATAATTATATATATATATATATACAGTATATGAACCGTTTGTGCTCCCTATTATTAAGTCTCGTAGCTGGGAAGTATGGAAATAAATGTAATATACAAACCTATGTGAGAAAATTTTTATTAGTATTAGCAACCAGAATGCGTTAATAGAAATTTGATTCTTGACGATAAATCAGCTGTCGCTCCTCGCAAGAAACCTTAGAATTCAAACGCCATCCAGATGATTGTTTTCATAATATAAATTTCCATAAATTCTAAATGAGTGTCAGTGGAGGAATAAGTTTTCGAAATGCCTGCAATTCAAACGCGTTAAAAAGCTATAGGGTTGGAAAATGCAGATGGTCGTTTCTGCGTGCACCAACCTGTCTTTTAAATAATTTGAATAATACTAATTCATACTAACCGGAAGAGAGCAAAAAATAATGTGTTAATACAGCCACGAATTCACAGGCTATGTCGTTTTGAATTGCAATATCATGAAATAGACTCAAAAGATGTAAACAAAGAAGTGATGCTGATAAACAAATTTGTACAGTTGCTCTGTCTCCTCGAAGATGCTTACGAACCCTATGTATTATAATGCAAACAACCAACAGTGCAAGCACCGAAATCGTTTGGGTTATGTACGAACAAACCTATAAAAATATAAAGAAAAGTATTATGGTAGATTAAAAATCTAAATATAGAATAGCAAAGCCAAATTAAAACAGTTTATATCCAATGTTCTTGGGTTATAGGAGCTCTTTTCGTACCTCGTCTCTGATTTATTGCTTAATAGACTAATATTTGCTATAATTAAAAGGTGTTTGATAGGAAGTTAGAATCATCTTACCTTCACACCATGAGGGATTTCAACTATAGTTAGCGACATTAGAGCTGCGAACATTGTTGTGTGATTGCACTCACAAGTGATTTTCGATCCTATGTTGTACTGCACAAGCTGACATCCTTGCTTCGACATTTTCTGAGTTGTGATATTGTAGAAAACGCATTCATAATGGACTTGCTCTAAAATTTTTCTGGGATCATGAAACTCCGGCTGCGTTAAACTGTCTTCTGACACATTGATAGAAAATATGACGTCAATATTAAGTTTATTGTGATTGGTTGGTTCGTACGCCGTAATCGACAAGAGCGGGCTCCCGTCTGAAAGAAACGATGTCGTCTTCTTCGGGCCGGTACTTGCCGGTGGCACAGGTAGTAAAGTGTTGTATGCCGATAGTGGGGAATTCAGCTGAGCAACTGAAACGTCTGCTATTTTAACTTGTTGAGCTTGTCCAATTGTATGCACTTCGCTTTTGCTGAGTTTTGCAACACTCTGTGGTAATGATTAGTTAGAATTACAAGACAGGTAAATGTCACTGTTAGGCTACTTACAGACTTACGTGCAACCAGAACTCTGAGAGGGGAAAAATTGGCAACTAGGGTTCAAATATACGAAGCTATTTTGCTTCTTCGGATGTCAATAAACTGTTTTCATGTTGGTCATTTGAAACAAAATGAGAAGTAAGTTTTCACAAGGCCGGGAAGTGAGTATATAAACTTATTATTTATTTCCCCCTTCCGCTCAATGGTTATTATAACTTACAATATTGTATTAAATCACAAAATATCATATTGAGATATATATTTAGTTACCGGTAAGCATATTCCCAAATAATAGTTTTCAAGTTGTATTTCGTCTTACTTTATTACTACCTTTCGTTGTGGAGAGATTTGGTAAAACCACAATTTCAACGCCACTCCGCGCAAAAGTTTTAACCGATAAAGCTGATATAACCAAAGATTTCATCGATTCCTCTATAATTAATGTTTTTGAGGTAAGGTCGCTGTCATTTCGATGAGACATTACCAAAATTCGCTCGATGTCTCCTGTTAATTAGAATGATGTATAATAGTCTCGTTATACTATATTACTCTGGCATGGTGCAATACATGACATAACTTTATGTGACTTATACATAATATTGATTCTACCCAGTGTTGCCAATGCACCACAATATCTGTCTATCGGGCTATAATTTTGGTACCACGGCTTGTGCGCTTGATTTCAGTTATATAAAATCCATAAAGTATCTCCACAATTTTAAAAATTATCATTTGATGTATATAGACTATAGAGCCTTCAACTTATTATTATTATATCAGGCTTATAGTTCTCTTTTAGAAAAGATTGCTAGTATTTATTTTTAGTGAGCTACCATTTCCGCTATTGGTAATTATAGGAATCCGAGTGTTTTCCTTGTCGGTAGAAGCCGTTGACGCATCTGTAGCAAGCGGGATCGTCGTTGTGATGTCCAGATTTGTCGTGACGTCCCTTTTTGTGCTTTCAGTTTTGAAGGAGGTCGAAGTGGTGACACCAATCTGTCTATTTGCAGAAGTATCACGGGGAGTTGTGACAAAAACACTCTCCGAGCTCATTCTCGTCGTGGAGAGGAGAGGCATGCTGGTATCAGGTACATTTTTCTCAGTTACTGAAAATAAAACTTTTTGTAAAATAGTTTATATATTAATTTTTAGGCGCTCCGGAAGTATTCGTACCAAGCTGACGCACAACCTGAACAACCCTAACCTGGTACAATACTATGTTCAGGTTGTGCGCCATCTTGGTACAAATTGCAATTACGCTGCGATTGTCATGGTGAACTAAATGTAGATTGCGTTGTAATTAATTAGTTTGATTATTACTTCGATGTCAAGTTTTGATTAATTTATCATGGACATAAAGATGTGAACAATCAGCATTCCCACTTAACGCTCCCACTTTTACTTAATGCTTTGGACGAAAACGAAGTGGTAGTTGCTTCACATAAGTTTGCTGTGGACTTTCTCATTTTTCCCCTTGAACACCGCTTGCTTACCCGTATTATGACAAACAAATAGAGAATCCGTTGAATAATCTACGTCCTTGCAAGTTGCAAACTTCCCTTGTATTCTGCATTTCACATCATTTTTTCCGCATGATACTGAAAAAAAACTAGCAATATGGCATGACTGTGCTAATGTAAAAGCGCAATACATACAAAGTGAATAATGCCTTTTCTACACCTACCAAATAGACCCCGTAACGCCGTGTTGTCAGACAGTAATTCCAAATAACTCCTCAGCGTAGTCCATAACGGTAACCCACCAAAAGTACAATTTCTTTTAGAAAATGTGTAATTCTGTTCGTCTCGGGAAAACGTGAATTCTACAATGAAGTATTTTTTTTTTAAGTTATTCGTGGCAGAAAGTAATGCCATCAGCAATATAGACTGATTGTTATTACAAAAAAAAATAAAATTTCTTATCTGCTGAAAACAGAATCCTTTTACTTGATTTCTTTGCATGTATAGAAAACGATTATAATGTAATATCATATTGAAAAAACGCTTATGGACACTCTACAGTCTACTCTATACTGGCAAAATCACGACTGCTCTTGCTCTATCGCAAGCAAGATTGCATTAGAAGTGTCGTTGTGTTAAATGCAAAGACGATAATTTCGTAGGCTACTTTATTTCTGATTTTTATATGCTCAACAAGACGTGACAGAAAGATAGCTGATGATAGGAGAATTACATTAATCTGGTTTTAAACGAATTTCAAATAATAAAACGCATAACTGTATACGTATTTCTATTTGACTTAAAACACCAAAATTTACATTCGACTAATTGATTCTACTGTCAGCTATGCCTTCTTACCTGCACACAAGCTGGGAGTAATGGTCGAATTTCCTCGCATTTTCTGTTCTGATTCTTTGTTTACCTTTGTGACAATTCTGTTCCCTTTAACTGTGCAGGCTTCAATTTTGTACTCACATTCTTAAAAACAAAAAATAAACTGAGTTAGTAAATGTCTAGCTGTTGTATATACTTCGCTGTTATATACACTATTGTTTTCTCTGCGATCTGGGCTTTTGCATTCTTCTAAGTTTCCCAACATATTTATGACCCATTTTGCGGAGACTTGTAGGCGGGGTTTTGTTCAATCTTCTTGCCGACCAACACTGTTCTGTCTGTAGCCAAAGATCAAAATTGTCGAAAATGGCATGCCAAATAATTCAGCAATTACTAACATAGGAAAATATAATACAAGTGGAAAATATATCAAAATATACAGTCGGTACATAATACACAATAACTTATGTAGACCTAGCTAACCTTCAAACTCCACTGTAAATTCTTCATCTGGAAGGGAATTTGCAGTCTGAAGCAAATATTGCACCGAAATATTCTCCATTGTATCGTTTGCATAAACATAAAAATCTAGAAAGCATAGATTGATTTCAACTTGATTTACTCAATAGTGTGTGATAAGTGAATGCGAAACTAAAAAAGTTGAAAAGCAATACATCTAAACATGCCTTATACAATTTAACATGGATTCTGCAAAAAGAAGGTTTTCCGCCCGACTCGTCTTCAAATTTTAACCAAGTGCTACTACCGGTCGAACAAAAAACAGCATGAAATCCTGCGGCTGGGTCGTCTGCACGATCAGTTATCAGGCTCTAATTCAGCATATGGTTCAGCATTCAGCAATTCAACATATGGTAGTTCGTTTTAACAGCGAATGCATTTAAATTTTAAAAATATTCTAACCTATATAACATAGAAAACGAATATTGATTCAATCAAAACTTACCCGATACATTGCCTGTACTGCAACTGATTGTTGGAACATTTAGATTGCTCGGGCAATCATCTGAGGCTAAAATGAATATTATACAATTATTATAAAAGATTAAAGATACTGAGCGGAATCGTATAAGTACGAAATCAATTAGTGATAATAGATATTTTTTTTAATAACAAAACGCTGATTAAACTAACGACCCTTGTTACTTATCGATCTTAAGATCGGTAAGTATGTTGATAGGTATTTGTGTGTTTGTCTGTTAGACACTCTCGTATGTTACTCGATATCTCACGAAAGCGAAGTTGAATCTCCTCTAAATTTTGCATGTGCATTCATCATATCTCGGACCAAAAGCCTGTTGATTTTGGATAGATTATGTCGTATAACTAGCGAGTTATTAATTAATTAGTGATGGGACACAAAGTGTCACTATGGAGTAAAAGCGCTGTTTTTGGGGATCCCTAACTCTCGATCGATAAGGATTCGGTCTCTGACCGATATTCTCGTTTGTGAAGTTAATAATATGAATTGTTCAGGTCCTAGTAACTATTTGAATAATAGAGGAACGAGATAGCGATCGGATACCGCCGACTTATCGATATTCCGCATGTTCAATATTTTACTCGAAAATTTTGACGGAGTACGATTTCACATGACTTATTCTCGCAAATTGTGTTTTATTGGTTGGCCACATTCTGAATAATTTATCCTGCTGAAACACAGCAATTTATTTCACCGAAAATATTAAACTATGTGGTTAGATAATTGGTTGTTATAAATACTACATCGTGATCCGAATAATACGTGTCCACAATATCAACAACAATGCTGTTATCCGTACAATTTCTATTAAAATACATGTGATCAGCAGAGAGCAGAGACCCATAATCTGTGGTCGCGTCATTGGTACGAATATATAGTTGCCATGATTGAAGATGATCGATTATGGAAGATATTATCATTAAAATCTCCCAAGATGAATGTTGGATCTCCTTGTGCTATGAAGGTCATTAATTCAGACAATATGTTAAGAAATTCCAACTGCGGAAAACTCGGTGGTCTGTAAATAAACAACAAAGTGAATAATTTATTCGTGGAAGTTTTCAGTCGAATCATTTTATGCTCAAGCACGTTCGAAGATGTTTTTATTTCAACGGGATTCAGCTTTCGCGAAGCACAGACTAATAATCCATGCTTGCCACCATGATTTTGTTCACTGGGTACGTCTTCTCTGAAGGAAACGTAGTCAAATTTGTTGGTGAATTTGTCTATGTTGTGGCGTTCGGTCAAATATGTTTCTGTGAAACAGCAAATATCAGCATGACGGAAAATTCCAATCTCTGTATGAGAAACTAAATCGTCCATCTTCTTTAAAAAGTACCTTATGTTTATATGACCTAACGTTAACCAATTTGATTTATTTAAATCTGTCAATCTAGGTTGACGTTGGTGTGCTTTGGACATTGCACGCATGTTATTCATCACTTCAGAACTACATCTGATAGTACAGGGATTAAAATCAGTCAGATACAAATTTTCCAACTTTCTGACCCGGGACAAAGCGACATTAACCTGCCCACAGCCAAATTTCTTTCCCTTTGTGTTGACGACAATCTTATTTAAAGTAATACCTTGACATTGTGAATCGTGACGGCCCAACCAAGCATCAACGGAAACTGGTATCGGGAAACTTGTGCTTCTTGCCATATGCATTTCGAATTTGGCTTCCCTACGTGTTATCGGCACGAGGCGCGGGTGTTGCCTTTTCCATCTACTCTTAGCCATAGCTTTCCGTCCAACATTATCGTTGTCAAACGTAATCAAAATGCTGATTACAAACTTTTTGCAATATATTGTACGGTACCCATTACTCCATTCACCAAACCGTCACTCGTGTCTATATTATAAAGCAACATGACCCTACACCCAACAGCAATTTCCAAGACGGTGCGCAACCCGCCGGTTTTGTATCTTTTTAACTTTAAACCAGATGCATGCAAACTAATTAGAGACAAAACCTCCCCTTTGTCATCTATGGCCGGTATTGAATCAACTTATTCAGTTTGAATATATTCCAGTTATCTACGTCGTTGTTGTAAGCAAAAACATGCAATGCTTCCTCGGGAAAGTTGAGATCAGAATGATGAATCTCCCTTGTGCGCAGTGCAGTGTATCTATGTCGGCTCGTGTTCGATTTCCCAATCGAATCCGACACAACAATTCTGCAAAATTTCTATCGTTTTTTGGCGCATAATTTCATCTAATTCGTGCAAGTGGAAATTATCATTCCAACGAGAATGACCTAAGCGCATAGTTTCATCAGAAACAGGACAAAATATTTGAGGCTGACAGACCGGAGGCAATTGAAACAAATCACCGACGGCTAAAATGGAGACGTTTCCAAATGGAGCCACATTCCCCTTGATCACTTGCAGGCGTTTGTGAATGTTTAAAAGCATGTCTGAACTTACCATGGAGATTTCGTCGATAATTAATACACGTAATCTGCCAAGATGAGATCGCAAAGTATTCAGTTTTCCGAAGGATATGCCGTCGTGTCCACTGCTAACTTTCCTATTCGTTAACAGTAGTGAAGAATGTATAGTCATACCATCTATGTTGAATGCAGCAACGCCTGTTGGAGCACAAAGGAGGCAAGTTACATCATTCGTATCGACAGTTCTTGAAAGAGCGAAATATCTTCTTGTATCGTGCTGAATCAATTTTATCACATGTGATTTCCCTACTTCACCAGGACCGATTAAGAAAATTCTATATGGTTCAACCGAACCGTTTTCTTTAATTGCAATAAGGGCATCCTTGCACCACTTCCTGTGATGGAATACTATAGCCCTTCGCTTATCATTCAAGCAGCGTATCATATTACAATATTCAGATGTAGACAATACATTTCTGTTCTTTTCGATTTCGTATCTCGCACCTATGTCACTTTTGGGAACGGCAACACGTTTAACACTTTCAATGATTGCTGAGTTGGCAGCAAGATCCTCTCTTATCATGGTGGTGTAAGGTGTATTACCTTCCGATTTATCTTGTTGATTTGTAAGGTCACTTTTCATGCCAAGATCACCTCACAAATGAAGAGGAGGACCGTTCACTGAATTTTTGTAAATAGCTGAACCAACTAACTCCACATTGTTGCAATACCGTGATTCCACAGCAGACAATTTGTCTTGTATTTCCAAATAATAAGATGAATAAGTTGGATGGTCCGCCAGCAGGTCGCGCTCCTCTGAACGCCACGGGAGGTACAACATCAATTTGGCACGGCAAAAATTGTTGAAATCAGTTTCATTGTTATGTTTTCGAAAACGAATTATACATTCTCTTCTTCTTTTACTCATTTTCCCAAGGCCGCGTCTCAGTACAATATGCTGGGGTAAATCACGATGAGGATCTTGATTCCCGTTATCGTCGTGCAACCAATCTTGTACGCTGTCATCGACGTGTTTGTCATTTTTTCAATAACTCACAGCATAGTTTGCAACGAAAGTTGCTAAACACACATCGCCGAGTATCGGTCAATTTTTTTGAAATATGTCACTATCTTCGTCTTCCAGTTATTTTTTTGATTTTAAGATACACTGTCGTTCTGCAACAGAATCAGTGTTTATGTAAATAACAGACAGATCTACTCATTTTTTTCATTGGAATGGATAAGATACGATAACATGCTTCCTGTGCACTTAGTTCTCGTTTATTTGAAACGACACAACTTATTCGCCTAAGCATATTTTTTATATCAAGATTCTTATATTCTTTACATACATGTTTTAATAGTAACCCCATTCCCTGTTCACTTTTCATCATATACGATGCGACATACATGACACATGCATAAGGATCAACAACATACTTGATATCCATATTGGCTTGCCAGGCCCTTAATATTACGGGGTTATATGCGATGATGAAGCACTCCGCCGGCTTTCTGGCTAGGATAACATTGTTGCTTTTTTGTGATATACACAGTGCCTGCCGATATTGTTGATTATTATCAATATCGATATTTTGTAGTAAATCGTCCATACTTACATCCGAACTGGTGTCTCGGTACGACGACGATAGCGTATCACGGACTTTTTTTAAAACAATTTTAGACTGGGTCATTATTTCACTCTCATCCTCCTCGACTTCTTTTGCAATTATTACTTTTTCACTCGGTGGTTTTGGGTAATTAAATCTACATCCACCACTTTTCTTGCAATAGAAAGAATGACTGCGTGTCTGTAAATCCTGCACGAGGGCTTTCAATGGGAGGTCGTCAACAGGAAATGAACAGGTAACGTGCTTGCTAATGAACGCGCACACCTCTTCATCAGTTTGAATGCCCAACTTTGGGGCCTTGTCAACCCAAAGCAACGGTGACCGTACATTTGAACCCATGTACATTTGAACCCATGCGTATATCCACGGGTTCAATCTATATGCGGGTGCTAAAACCCATGGGTTAGGGTTAGTATGGGTTTAACTATCCGTGAAACAAAAGAAATTCCATAGGTGCAATAGCATACAGGTGCAATTGTCATGGGTTCAAATGTACGTGGGTTCAAATGTAATGGAACCCAAAGCAACATATGGGCATGAGGGGAACCTCTGGCTTGAAATTCTATCCGAATCACAAAATCAATAATATGACCCAATGGCTGTGTCGGGGACAATAGTACATCTTTGTACAAGCATTCTAAACGATAGTGAAAGTGTCTAGCTGCAGTAGCTGGGTTGGACCTTAACCACATAGAACTCTGCTCAAAGGAAAGATTAGCTACGTCATCATCCGTTAAAATGGACCCGTACTGTCTAGCAATGGATGAAATTAAGTCTGGCCATCGCATGTCTGCGGCACTTAGTGTGAAGAAAAATGTAGGAATTCCGATCTGACGAATCATAGCCAGTACATCATAAAATACGCCTTGGAAATGAGCGGGCGAACTTCGAATATTCCCCAGTATTTTGAAAGCTTTATCAGTTTTAATCATATTATTTATATTATCTGAATTTCGAATAAACCCAGCAGTTATCTCGTTATTTCCGCATTTGTGATTTACTCC